TATTGTTGACTAGTGTTGAATAGCGTTATATGAATATTATTCAATTATTATGGACTCTCGAAGTCGTCGTGGCCTAAAGCATAAGACCGGTGTTCGAATCCCGCTGGCGGGTACCAATTTTTCTAATGAAATACGTACTCAGCAAATGTTCACGATTGACTTCCACGGTGAAGGAATAACATCGTGCAATAAAAATCAAACCCGCAAAATTATAATTTGCGTAATTACTGGTGGTAGGACCTCTTGTGAGTCCGCACGGGTAGGTACCACCGCCCCGCCTATTTCTGCCGGGAAGCAGTAATGCGTTTCGGTTTGAAGAGTGGGGCAGCCGTTGTGACCATACTGAGACCTTAGAACTATATCTCAAGGTGTGTGGCGCATTTACGTTGTACATGTCTATGGGCTCCAGTAACCACTTAACACCAGGTGGGCTAGGAGCTCGTCCACACATCTAAGCAATAAAAAAAAAACTATGAAATCAGGAAAAACAGTCAAAACAGAAAAAATCAAATCATCTCAGTGGATCGCGTTTCCGATCTGGTGGTAGAGTCTGCTAATCACTGCTGCTGCCCTTGCTAGGGCTAATATTAGTTAATTCTCTCAAGCTTAGCCCGTGAGCTCACCTACCCGTCGGGGTGTAGCTGTAATAGCCTCTTAGGGTACCAGAGAATATGTAGGGGGAAAAAACCATGTGTGGCATTCGGGGACTGCCGCGGTAAAGCTATTGCATAGCATTTTTTATCAACTTATGCAATTATAATTAGACAATAATAATTTAATATTAAAACCATAATAAAATAAGACCACGCTTTATTTATAAACATTAACAAAAGCAAAACATTAGTCCCCTCACACTCATAAGCTAGACCGGGCGAGTGAGAGATGGGCAGACTTTTCATGATGCGCATGCAGTGCGACGTCACGCCGCGCGCTTATTTACAAACACTACACAAGCGTAACGTGTGAATGTGTTGAACGCAAGCTACATGGTAAGCGGAGTGGGGTGTTAGGTTTTATTTTCGTTACGGAATTTCTTGATTCGGTCGCCGTGCTCAAAACCCGCGATAAAAGCCATGCAATTTTAAAATTATTTTTAATCACATTCATAATAATATTGTTATTGCATTTCTTATTGATCACTTCACTGTGGAAATCAANCACAAGCGTAACGTGTGAATGTGTTGAACGCAAGCTACATGGTAAGCGGAGTGGGGTGTTAGGTTTTATTTTCGTTACGGAATTTCTTGATTCGGTCGCCGTGCTCAAAACCCGCGATAAAAGCCATGCAATTTTAAAATTATTTTTAATCACATTCATAATAATATTGTTATTGCATTTCTTATTGATCACTTCACTGTGGAAATCAAAAGAGAGGTGCACCTACACACATAGCTGAGGAAAATAGGACATGAAGTTTCCTAATGACTTCAAATAATCTAGATAGATGATAATCATAAAAATACTCTATCTTAGTAACTGAGCTGTCGGTGTACAATAATTAAAATGATTGTACTTCAAACACGGTCATAAATCTGGGATATTACCTTAAATTTAATTTAGTTATAGCAAATAGAATTTATTTTTAATGATACCTTAAGCATTTCAAATATCACTTGAAGATATCAGATCAATAACTAAAATATTTAAAACAAATGTCGTGCCAATTTCGGCACGGTGGTAAGACCTTGTCCGACTAACTGGCGACCATCCTCCAACTAGAGTCCGCCGCCAAATAGCGTAGCTGTCTGTGTTCCGGCGTGTGGGTTGGAGAGTCAGTTCTATTCCTTCCCTTTCCTCTTCCTTGATAGGGATGAATCTTGGTGATATTTGGAACATGCCAGGCAGAATTGCGTGTGAGCTCGCGGGATATGATGGTTTGACGGGGATATAGGGAGACCCAGTGAAAAGGTGCCCGCTCCGATCCCACAGCAGCGATGCGGGGTCAGCTGTGTTTGAGTATGTACAAAAGGGGACTGACCGCGTGCTTGAACCATTTACGGAGGCGGTGGACCTTGGAGATTTTAACGATCACCACCAAGAGTGGGTGGGGTCCAGGGTTCTCTGACCTCCCGGGTCGGGCTGCACACGATTACGTCTTGGCCTACGGCTTCTCCCCTGGTGACACAGCCTACCCGTGTCCCAGATATTGATGGGCACGAGCCTTCGTAGTAGATTCATTCGCGAAGCAGCTGCTCTTGAGTTGTTAGGTATCTATTGGAGGCGCCTGGGCAGCTCTTAGCAAATTCCACCCCTCCTGGCTCAGCCTTTGCTCGCCCACCTGTCCTGGTGAAACAGAAAAGGCCTATGGGCCATCATTAAAAAAAAAAAAGAATTTATAAAATTAATAAGATACAATTTACGCTATGTGATGCTATGCTCATGTGAACGCTAAATTTTCAATTATAACGATTATTAAATTAACGGATAATTAATAAAAATAATAATGATTTGGTATTTAAAACATAATATAATATTTATGTCTTTTAGTTATTTATAGAATTAGAAAATCGCCAAAAAATATAATTTTTTACTATGAAATGAGCAACTACGAAACTCATTGTAAATCGCAATTATGTGTATTCCAACAGCTGCCAAATATTACTAGCACACNTATAACGATTATTAAATTAACGGATAATTAATAAAAATAATAATGATTTGGTATTTAAAACATAATATAATATTTATGTCTTTTAGTTATTTATAGAATTAGAAAATCGCCAAAAAATATAATTTTTTACTATGAAATGAGCAACTACGAAACTCATTGTAAATCGCAATTATGTGTATTCCAACAGCTGCCAAATATTACTAGCACACAAAATCTAAATTATTATTCGACAGGTTTATAAGTAGGGAGTGGTACCCAATACAATCCGGTCACCCCCTCCCCTGGCCGTCGGAGAATGCATCATAAAGGCATTTTCCACGAGTAAAAAGTATTTTTTTAGAGATCAAAATCGAAACCACAGAAATACACGCGCGTTACATTTTGGGATTTATTTTATAACCAGCGATCCACCCTCACTTCGCTTCGGAAACTGTAATTTATTATTGATTTCTCCACTATTTAATGGATGTTATTATACATATAAACCTTCCTCTTCTATCACTCTATCTATTAAAAAAAACTGCATCTAAATCCGTTGCGTAGTTTTAAAGATTTAAGCAAACATAGGGACAGAAAAAACGAATTTGTTTTATACTATGTAGTGACATGGTAAGTATTAGGCGAATCACTTATAGTTTTCTCCAAAAATACCTTCCCGATTTCGCCTTACATACATGTATTGCTCATAAATGAAGAAGATTACTGCATCGCTGCATACGTGAATGAATTTCAAAGTAACAAACACGCTTGCGAATTAATTACATTGTTATCGATAAAATTTTTAGTCTTAACATGCCTTTAATCGTAAAATTACATATTTTCTCGCGAATTGATAGCAACTATGACTTTTACAAGTAGGTTAGTCTAGCCGCGACCTAATTCTAAGTGATGCATGATTAGTTCGAACAAACACGCAACTCTAGTCACCATTAAAAGTACCGACATTTGGTGGTAAGGCGTGTTGTAAGATCGCAAAGGACAAGGAGTATAATTGCGTGTGCATCTGCAGTGAAGTCTTCGTGTTCACTGAAAGGCGGGAAATCCGTTATTGTATTGCGTTTGAGACTCTGACTTTGCGTTTCCAGATCGGTGACGTTATTCATTAGTATGGCCTTCATATCAGGTAAAACGTAGACTCATTTACCCATTTACAACAAGACTTTCTAAGATACGCAATTAACCATACTAAAGCTGGGTAATGACCTGCTCTAGGTACAGGTAAGGGCTTGCAATCAGGGAAAATGGTTAAAGCTTCAAAATAAAACAACAAAAAAAATATAATCGATTTATGTCCCTTCAAAAAAAATATATTCAAAATACAACTCTTGCTCAAATAAATTTTCAATGAAAACTGTTATTTTCATAAAATAACCTTCAGTAAGTAGAAGTAAGTATGTAGTAAGTAACTAGTTAGTAGGCAGCGGCTTGGCTCTGCCCCTAGCATTGCTGAAATCCATGGGCGACGGTAACCACTCACCATCAGGTGGGCCGTATGCTTGTCTGCATACAAGAGCAATAAAAAAAAATTTAAAAAAAACTTCAGACACCAACAATATTTGATTGATTTAAAAATGTATGTTAAAAAATATATTTATGAAACATCTTTTCTCGAAACATATGTAAGTACACCATACACGATTAAGTAAAAAGGCAGCATGTATAGTTTCTGAAATACTGAAATCCATTGCAAGCTATACCAGAAAATAAAACAGTAATAGAATATAAATTAGCTAACACGTACTTAACTACATACACAATATGAACGTATTTAAAACTAAAGCATTCGTCGTTTAGTCCATTAGAAGATCTCTATAAAGTGCATAAAACATAATATAACGAAGACAAATCAGCATATAAACAAGAACATTATTTATTTCCATAGCAAAAGAACCCCTGTTGACATACACTTACTTCCTAGTTGACCTGAATTTCGCGTTGTAGGCTTGTAGGTACCTGCCCTCACACCTCAATCCCGTCGTCACACTGACAGATTTCCATTTACTTCAACGGCAGGCTGCAATGTCAAATCCGTCTCTACTCAACATAAAGAGCTCTCTCGCCTCTAATTACGGATTAATTCAATTACGAAACGAAGAAGGGCCCTTTGTTAGGCACATAATGATGAACTCACTCAACATACTAACGACTTTTTATTGTAATTTGTTTCGTTTATAAACAAAGATATTAAGTACACTGATTTCTATGATTTCTATTCGTTGTCTCAAGTTTGAAAACTGTATGATTTTTTAAATGTTGAATTTGGAATTTCTTGTATCGTAGCATCTATGATGCTTGTTTCTTGTGTCGAATTTAAAATTTGTATAGAATTCGGAATTTAAATTAATTGCATTTCGCGTGCCGCGTTTAAAACTGTGATCGTGTCCGCGTGTCGTGTCAGTCCGTCCGCGCTCCGCAAGTCTGCAGTCGGCCGTGGCGCGTTCTCGGTAACGCACGTAGCGTCATGTTTCGAGCGGTTTCTGATGTTTGGAAGCGATATTGGTGGGGAACAGGTACGGCACTTACAAATGAGAACTTCCTGTACTGAATAATATTTTTCAGATATACCAAATTGATTACCTAATTTTTGGCACTAAAACATCGCTTAAAAAAAACTAGCAACGGAAACCCAAGAATCGCATATAATTATTTACATAAGTATCGGTAATTTTCTGTGCTATCGTCAACAATGCTCGTAGGTTTCTTGGTTGGATTTGAATAATAGAATTTAAAACTTTACTGACTTTTCCAAAAGTAAAATCTAGTGCATTTCTTCTTAAGGAAGGTTCGAAGTACACGTTACTCGAGTTCAAAACTATTTGTGTGTCGAATGGCGCGTGTTCGGGTTTGTTCGGCAATTTTCGTAGCACGTGGAAAAAGGGTCCGTTTGACAGGTGATGTCCAAAGCGAAGAGAGCTGTTTTGTTGATAAAACGTGAAGAGATCTCTTTGTTATGAACCTTATCTCGTTTCGAAATAGGAATCGAATCATTTAATGTTGTAACCGAGCGAAAATAAACATTATTTTCTCAGATACTTTTCGTGTTAATCATTTTTAAGACGGAATAAATTCAGACATAATTTGTTGCTACCACATAATTATTTAAAAAAAAAAGAATTATAAATAATAATTATAGTTAAGATATAATAAATATTATAGCTATGCATAGTAATGGAACTAAATTTACAATGTGCAGTTAAGTTTTACGTAATCTGTTTTTTATATTAAAGCATTTACAAGTAACCAATTTTTACAAACAGATTCAATTTCACAAAAAAATTACTAACTGAAGTTTGTTTTGCTTTTGTAAAATTCGTAAAATATTTGTAAAATATTGACGATAAAGGAAAAATATACATATTTTATAACAACTTATTTGTGAATTCCATTTCTATTAGAGTTTTTTTAATAACTGCCTCATTTAATAAGGGTTGTATGTCTTTTCTCGATTCATTGTGAAAAGATTGCTCTAGATAGGTTTCATTAATGAGAAAGAAGAAATCATGTTTACATGGCATTTGGCAAGGAACAGTTCAGAAGTTTATAATTGTGTTTGGGAAAAAATCTGCATTATGTTTCTGTGACAAAAAATATTCATTAATAAGTTAAATCTATCATAAATAGTTTCTTGCTCTTATCTAATTGGTCATGTTTCTAGAGGGGAAAGTAAGTTTTTCGTATTAAAAAGTTTTATTATGAAACTAAGAGAAGTATTCATTAACAGTATCATATTTTTACTATTTGCTTAAGGGTAATAAATAGACTATTTACTTATTCGATAATACTTGGAATGTCGAAAGTGAGCAAGCTTCATATCGCATGGGCGGAACCCTGTGCTTAGTGTTGGGAAGAAAGTTTAAACTATCTTTATATATTACTAGCGACCCGCCCTCGCTTCGCTTCGGAAACATTAAAACATACATGAAACCAAAAAAATAAAATAATTTTTTTTTTTAAAAAAGTAGCCTATGTTCATCAGGGACAATGTCGGCTTCTAATGGAAAAATAATTTTTCAAATCGGTCCAGTAGTTTCGGAGCCTATTCGAAACAAACAAACAAACAAATCTTTCCTCTTTATAATATTAGTATAGATGTTTAAATATTTTCGCCAAAATTGGTCGTTTTGACGTACAAACGCAAGAGACAAATAGCACTAATTTTGTCTTAATAATATTATTTCACGGCAGAAATAGTCAGGGTGGTAGTACCTACTCGTGTGGACTCAAAAGAGATCTTACCACCAAAAACTACGCAAGTATAATTTTTGCGGATTTGACTTTTATTACACAAAGTTATTCGTTTACCGTGGAAGTCATTCGTGAATTTTTGATAAGTACGTATTTCATTAGAAAAATGGGTAGGTACCTGCCTGCGGCATTTCAAGACCAGCATAGTCGTATCACTCGATACGAATGTTTTTTTTTTAGGATTTAAGGATTATTGGTGGCTAGGATGCCTTTCCAGTTTCACTAGAACAGGTGGACGAGCAAAGGCTTAGCCAGGAGGGTGGGATTTGCTGCTAACAGCTGCCCGAGCGCATACGAAGGAGACCTAACAACTCAAGAGCAGCTGCTTCGCGAATGAATCTACTACCGGATCGGAATCGCGACCCGCTGAGAAGATCCGGCAAGAAACTCAGCGAGCTGATGCATGGGTTAGATTGCACATCGAACTCTTTGTCGAATTCAGCGAGTACAATTACGGGGGCCCTAAGCCTGCTCCTAGTGCTAGATCTGAAGGCGTCTAGTGCAAAAGTTATTGGATCTGATGGATCCGTAAGGACGTGCTTAGGATGTCGACGGTGACTGGCTCCTGCGTGATCAAGATTCGGGGAGTAGTCAGCGGCGGCAACGATAAGGCGATTATCACGATGCATAGCCTTATCGAAGTACCGTTCCTACGCTGACTCCATGTATTTTCGGATTGATTCGAGGCCCAGGTCGTCGTGTAGGTCAACGTTCCTCACGAACCACGGAGCTCCGACTGCTAACCTGCAAAAGCGGTGTTGAAGGGTGTCTATGAGTGTGCGGGCCGCGTGAGAGAACACCACGATCGTATAAGTCATGACGGGCCGTATGCGAGTTTTGGAAAGAGTCACCTTGTTCCGAAGGGACATTTTACTCCGCTTACAGATCATGGGGTAGAGTCTCCCAAGAATAAACGCGGCACGGTCGCGGACTGATTTTATATGCGGGCGGAATGTCATGGATGCATCCTGGGTGACTCCCAAGTACTTGACCTTCCTGGCTCAGGGTACGGGTTGGCTAAAGCGGTTAATTGGGGGATACGAATGTACCGTCTTATCCTTTAGGCCACGATGACGAAGTTATGAATAATAATTTGTAAAAATATATATATAATAATGTGTACTAAGCACTATGTAGTTATATCGCTGACATCATTTTGCAGGTTTCATTGCTACATAATATTTGAAAGGGCTGCATGTATCACAAGGTCTCTTATTAATGAAAACTGACTGGTGAAGTTTATGTGGTGATATTTTTTTTGCAATAAAATAGTAAAATGTTTCTACCTTTCAAATGTGAATTATACCTTCTTTTTTTAGTTTGTGTCCAAAGTCCACAGATAACCGAAGAACGGTAATTATAATTATCAATTACTTCATAAAATAGCTAACCCAAAACGTAGCCGTACTACGTAAACAAAATTTAAATCTGTTCTCAAGCAAGAAAGGTACTATCATTTTAATTTTATAACAAGGAGCACAATATACTCAACTACCGACCAGCCCTCGCTTCGCTTCGGAAACTGTAATTTATTATTGATTTCTCCACTATTTAATGGATGTTATTATACATATAAACCTTCCTCTTCAATCACTCTATCTATTAAAACATACCGCATCAAAATCCGTTGTGCAGTTTTAAAGATTTAAGCATACATAGGGACAGAGAAAGCGACTTTGTTTTATACTATGTAGTGATTATGACTTCACATCTTCCATAAACTTAAAAAAAAAACGCATACCGAGAAACAGAGTCACATAAATCGTAACCAAAAAAATGAAGACCTTATATCTTAAAATTTTAGAAGACCTTTTAAATTAAGAGGACCATGCACGCATTTAATTATTAATTTAAAACTTGGATTAAATTTATAAAACTTAAAATTAAATTTGATCATTCACTACGTAACCCTAATTTTCCGCCGCAATTATAAAACAAACATTATTAGATAGTTTATAAATAGTTTATTATAAAGTTCAATTTGTAATTTTAGTGTAAATTACCTGGCTTTTTGACCTTTTTCTTCCTTTACTAAGGCGGTAAAGCCTTACTACATAATAATAGGTCCATCGCTGAAGATAAATTTTACTATTTTTAAGCCTTATTTAAATCAGGACCCATAGCATTCAAAAAACACCTTAGAACGAAATTCATTCCATTAGCTAATGGTATGCAACAAAACTGTTCTCTGAAAGAATGCGTTGTGTCTGGAATACGAATCACTGCTTACCCATCTAGTGTTTTATAGTTTCCACATAGAGAGGATGTACTCTACTAAAGAGGACATAGCGAGTTAATAATCTTGAACATTTCCTTAAAACATTCCCTAACGTAATCAGATTTTATCTATATACAGTCAAACCTGGGTAAGTGAGAACTGGATAAGTAAGAAAACTCTATAAGTGAGAGTAATAGCAAGGACCCGTCATTTTAAGCTCCCAAAACCTCTATTAGCGAGAAACAGAAACCTCTGTAAGAGAGAGTCGTTTTTTCCTCATGGACCTCCGTAAGTGAGACTGCTACCTATCTATACCTCTATAAGCGACAGCCGAGCTTTATTTATTTATTTATATTATTTAGGAGGAACAAATGACAAAACAAATTACAAATTTAACATCTGCTATTTTATGACTCATTTTTTTTAACTTTCGTGGAACTTCTTATCATTGTTTTTGTATGGTTTTCTCGTGAATATTGAACATATTCTATTTCGTGGAACTAAATAACGCTGTTATTTTATCGTATTCTTTTATCGCATTATTTTCAAATGGACACGTGTGCCTGTGTACCGTCCTGTTTGTCGGACTTACTCAGTTTATCGTTAATCAATTACGAAGGAAAGTTCTGTTCTGCATCATGTAAAAAAAACGGAAAATTAAAGTACTGTCATTAAAGTCATAAGCTTAAAATAGTGAATGCATTTGAATGCGGAAAATCGCGAATCGAAATTCAGAGGGAACATTAGCGAGAAACTCGGGTTAGTGAGAAACCTCTATAAGCGAGAATGAGATTGTGCTCCCTTGGACTCTCGCTTATCCAGGTTTGACTGTATTAATACGTAAAGTACGTATTAATACGAAAAACATTACACACACTACTTCGTATTTGACACACACACGCATGCATACTATTTGTTTATTGTCAAGCTTTTCTTATTGCTTGCTTATAGTCTGTGGACATATTGAGAATAGATTAAATACTGTTTGTCTTTATTAATATTTGTCCAAGGGGTAGTCTTGGCGAAATCTGGAATTATAGAAGTATATTGACAATAGAATCTTAATAGTGTACAAACTTATAATTTCAATGAATTATAGTCGAATTTCGACTACCGGGGGACCACTAGTAATAATTAATAAACGAAATTAAACCAGCGAATGAAACATAATCCTAGTATAATAATTTTTCACTATTTACCTAACCTAGTTAAAATTACCGTTGGCATATCGTACCGAAAACCAATCGATACTAATTACGTAGTTGCGAGTAGGAAATCCTTCGGGACTTCAACAGGGCTGAATTCGTTACGTAAGTAACATTGGACATAACACAAACTTGTTACAATTTATTTGTTCAGCTACGGAATTGCAAATGTGTATGTGATTAGGTGCTAAGGGAACTCTGATTAGTTTATAGCTGTGGGCTGTGTGTGTAAATATTTTTTGTATTTTTTTTTATTCTGTGAAATGACCGGGTTTCAATACGGCAGTCGACTGAGTGTCCATGTCTGATACGATATTAGGAGAAGCTGTGCCAACATATTACCTGATTAAATAGTTCATGTTTCGTTTTGATTTTCAAACATTCAAATCAATTCAAAAAAAAACAGCGGACGATTTTTAATTTGCATTGCATAAGTATAAAATGGAAAGGAGCCCTCGACACGCCTCACAGTAAAGTTGTGGTGCATAAAACATAGTAATATGGTATGGTCATGTGCAAAAGAAAACTACTTTCCAATGATATTTTCAGGTAGTATGGGTTTCATTGATTTCGAGGGCTTAGGTTCTCTTACGGCAGTTTAAAAAAAAAAACTATCATAATTAGTGCATTAAAATAAGAAGCTACAAATTTTACGAGAGTGAAGAATGACTGATGATTTTATTGAAAATTTTAATGGAATTTTTATTGGTGGTAGGACCTCTTATGAATCAGACGGGTAGGTACCGGCCACCCTGCCTATTTCTGCCGTCAAGCAGTAATCTGTTTCAGTTTGAAAGATGGGGCAGCAGTTGTAACTATACTGAGACCTTATCTCCTCATATCTCAAGGTGGGTGGCGGCATTTACGTTGTAGATATATATGGGCTCCGGTAACCACTTAACACCAGGTGAGCCTTGAGTTCGTCCATCCATCTATGCACAAAAAAAAGAAGCGAAAGAACATTATTACGCCATAATGTAACTGAAAATTTTCCGAACACATATATTGCATATACATAGCACTGTCCTGGCTCCTATATTTTTCAAACGGAGTACGGAGGAATCAACGAATAAATATACTATACGGATCGATAGCAATCGTTCCCATTGCTTTAATTAAAGAGCATTCACGACTAATAAAAGCAATTACATTCGTGTATTTTTTTATAGTAGTTTCAAGCTCAACCTCGTATCAATAATTATTATAATTTAGACATTAACGAACTGTGAGAAACACAGAACTGTCCTTCATTCGTAAAAGTTGCCCGCATGTACCATATAAAGCTCGACTGAACCTAACTTCAGTACCTGTGACGTTATTTGTGGCTAAAAATTACAGAAATACAATAATAGCAAGATATAACAGCAAGTTTTGTGATTTATGTTACAAATATAAGGATTTATTTAATGAAATAAAATATAAAACATTAAAAGCCTTAACCTCTTTTTCCAATATTTAATTGAATAGCCTACAAATATTGATTTTCAAATGTGATAATATTTTATAGTAATAACCCAATGTCGTTTGTGTATTTGACGAGTATTCAACATATTTGCCTCAACACATTTATTACTTATTTATTACTGACGTCAATGCAGTTATTATAATAATTACAATATGATCGCCATCTTTAACTACCTATGTAGTATTCTTTTAGTATGTTTTTTTCATAAATATTACCTTTTTATTGACAATAAATTTAAAATAGGTCTCGGTACAAAAGTTAACCGAATTCTTTAATTTTTCTTATTTATTTTAAAGTGTTAACCAATTCCGACAAAACATTTCCATCCAACTAGAATTATATTCCATCCTCAAGGTTTCCCTAGCTCTTGGCTTAGCTCTAGCTAGGAAATACAGCGGCCTGACTTGGCTATACGCTCACATTGTCCATGACAGACGGTAATTAGCAAGGAAGGCTATGCCAACCTGATTATTAGTGGAGATTCATGTCGACTCGAACATTTAGAAACGAAAAAAAATATCACGTTGATAATAAAACTTATAAATTGCCTACAAAAGATTTATAACTCGAGCCCACTGAGATTCTCGCCGGATCTTCTCAGTGGGTCGCGTTTCCGATCCGGTGGTAGATTCTGAGAAGCACTGCTCTTACTAGGGGCAGTGTTAGCAGCACTCTCGATTTGAGCCCCGTGAGCTCACGTCAAGGACAAGCTGAAATAGCCTCTCAAGGCTATCATCAGCATAGGTAGGGGAAAAAAATTAACTCGTCCCTTAACTTGGGTTCCTTCGCATATTTTATTGCAACACACGTTTTGCATTATTTAAAAATTAAAGTACATAATAATGAAGACTTATTGTACAATCAGTGACTATGTGAATGATAAAAGCGTGCGGGGTTGAAATTGTACTCCACACAAAACAGTGCTGAGCAGATCCTTTGAGTTCTGAGTTATGTGGACCTCTTCTAGTTATAGTCGTGCTTCTAGTTATGTTAATAACGATGTATGTACATACCTACATATATTGGAAAATAGCAAGCCCTGAGTTTCTAGACGATTCTTCTCAGTAGTGAAACTGCATTCCTAATCAGTGATGAAATTATGACGGATCGAAAGCGCCTGTAAAGAATTACTTGAATAAAAAGAATTTGATTTTCGGTTTCAAAAATACATCGTCTGAATAAGTTCGTTTAAAGCCTAACCTAAGAATAACAATTATTGTTTTTAGCTTTAACAATACCCGCGTCAACACAAAGTAGAATCTTGTTGAATGAATATTTAATGGAAAAATCCGGGTCGACCCTCAAAGCTGATAGGCGAGCTGTCACGTATGTACTGAGAAATCATAAAGTATTTATTTGAAATTACACGATTCGAAAAGGCGTGTCTGTATTTATAGGTAGGATAATATATAATTCATTTGATGTTACACTAAAATGAGTCCTCATTTTAGGAACCTGATTGTCTAAGTTTTTGTTCGTAAAAAATAAACTTGAAAGCTTGGCAGTGAGAAACTTTATAGATCTAATCGCTCAAAATAATCAAATATAACTTAAAACTTAGTAAAATGAATATAAAATAACATTGTTATTCTTGTAAGAAGGTGGTATGAATTCTGCATTGCAGTGTAGCATTTTAGAATGGCATTCGAGACATAAGTATGATAATTCAATCTGCAGTGTGGAATTGAAAGTGCTTGCGTGATTGGAATAAATCTCTTAGATGATCGTGAATAATCCTTTTCATAAACAATATCATTTCACAATTTAACTTTGTGAATTTATTACGTTGAAGACGGTTGTTCTCGTGTCTCGCAGTAGGTTCACGGCGTTAAAATTCTCTATGAGATTCGTCCGGTAAACGCTTTTTTTTCCCAACCTAACCTGATAGCCTTAGAGGCTATTTCCGCGTAACCTTAACTAGTAGGCGAACTCACGGGGCTCAAACCGGAGTGATGCTAACACTGACCCTAGCAAGAGCAGTGCTTCCTAACCCATACAGCAGCCCGCTGACTTTCTCACCTTATCTCTTCTCAGCAGGTCGCGATTCCGATCCGGTGGTAGATGCATTCGCGAAGCAGCTGTCCTTGACTTGTTAGGTCTCCTTTGGAGGTGCTCGGGCAGCTGTTATCAAATCTCATTCCTCCTGGCTGAGCATTGGCTTGCCCACCTGTCCTGGTGAAACTAGAAAGGCATTTGGTCCACCAGTAATCTTCCCTTCAAAAAAAAACTATAAGGTTTGCCAAGGGCTCTCAACAGTAAGAGCGACCTGGTTGTGCCCCTGCCATTGCTGATATTAATGAACGATGATGACTAATATCAGGGTCGCTCTTTTTTCTACCTATGCTGATAGCCTTGAGAGGCTATTTCAGCGTGACCTTAACTAGTAGGTGAGCTCACGGGGCTCAAATCTGACGACGTTGCTAACACGAACCCTAGCAAGAGCCGTGCGTCGCAGAATCTACCACCGGATCGGAAACGCGACCCACTGAGAAGATCCGGCGAGAAACTCAGTGGGCTGTGTCTACGGGTTAACTCGCTCGTCGAGCCCTTCGTTGTAAGCGACGGGTTCGACGAGGACGGTGACCGGTGCTTGTGGTACCTAAATGCACCGTAAACGCTTAACACCCAATGGCTCTCTGGGAGCTCTTCTCCTGCATGCCAATAAAAAATACCTGACTTCATCATAACCTTCTAAGTTGTTGTAGTTTGAACAGTTGAATCTCAAGTGTTCAACAACAAAACTTAAATTGTATTTTGTAAGAGTGAGTTACAGTTTTACTGGTGGTAGGACCTCTTGTCAGTCCGCACGGGTAGGTACCACCGCCCCGCTTATTTCTGCCGTGAAGCAGTAATGCGTTTCGGTTTGAAGGGTGGGGCAGCCGTTGTAACTACACTGAGACCTTAGAACTTATATCTCAAGGTGTGTGGCGCATTTACGTTGTAGATGTCTATGGGTTCCACTAACCAATTAACACCAGGTGGGCTGTGAGCTCGTCCACACATCATCTCCTTCATATCCTATTTGTTGTCAACAACAACAAAAGTAAAAGAAATATAAATGCATCCAACGCAATAATATTTATACGAAATATATATTCAATTTCAGCAATGCATATTGCGTTATTTGCATATAGATATTTCACTATTAATGGAATTCGTGCTCCGCGTCGATGTTGCTTTGTAGTTGCTCTCAGAATGTGCAGTTCTATATATGTATGTATGTATGTATGTATATCACATTTGTAACGTAGCTTACGTTGCTTGAACTAAACCACAACTATTCTATTTCAGGTATTCTACCGGACAGATCAAACAAAATCGATGACATTTATTTAAGATTTTACAATGGGTGAGTTTTTTTTTATTTTATAATATTACATTCAAACTATTAACAACATTATTTTTAGTTCAGATATTTTAATCATAATAATTATCACAGCTAGAACACAAATGCGATTACGACTTCCTTGATTTCATTTAGTATACCAATCTCCTTGACTTATTACCTAATATACCATGTATATATGGACTATAATGCCGCATATATTAAATTTTATTATAATGATACTAACTTAATGAAATACGAGACATCAATAAAAAAAAAACGTGTGGCACTCGGGAACTGCCGCGGTAAAGCTATTGCATAGCATTTTTTATCAACTTATGCAATTATAATTAGACAATGATAATTTAATATTAAAACAATAATAAAACAAGACCACGCTATATTAAACATTAATAAAAGCAAAACCTTAACTGTCCCCTTCACACTCATAAGCTAGACCGCAGATGGGCAGACTTTTCATGATGCGCATGCAGTGTGACGTCACGCCACGTGCTTATTCACAAACACTACACAAGCGCAACGTGTGAATGTGTTGAACGCGAGCTACATGGTAGGCGGAGTGAGGGGTGTAAGGTTTTTTTCGTTACGGAATTTCATGATTCGGTCGCCGCGCTCAAGGCCCGCGATAAATGCTATGCAATAGCTTAAATACTGGATGCACATTAGGCAACGTCAAACGACGAAGACCGGATGAATGCAAGGCCGAATAGATATCATACCTCAAAAACCGCTCAGGATATCATATTCGCATCAGTTTTCCTTATAAGTTTCTTTTATGTTCAATCTCAATTGTTTCATGTACAAAGAACATATAGTAATTATCTCTGCAATACATTCGTTGTCGATAAAAAGCACGTTCCCAACAATAATATCGAAACGAAACCTACAAAGCGTAGCCACAATGTGTCATTGTAGCCTTTTCATTTCACTGCTATGAACAAAGCAAACATTCCGATCGGAATGATAATTACGTGGCTTTTATTGGATTTAACGAGGCTTACCAGACAGCATTTACAGTGAATTGAGTATAGTGGTTGTTTAAATTTTAAAAAATATATTGAATTGATTGATTTAAATTAAATTTTGTTTCTTTTGGAATATGTACCGTAGTATTGTGTGAAAACTTGTTAATTCATTATCGAAAGGAGATTCTGCATAAGCAGTTTTGACAAGATCTTTTACATCATTGCGCAAAATGGCAAAACATTATCATAATGTGCACACCAGTCACCAACTACCTTACAGAAATATCAAATAGTAGTTGAGTAACATCAGCAAATACTCATACTAGTTATTGTTAGATTGCACTGTTTACTTATCCTGTTGATTTATGCCCGGGTATGCGAACCGAATAATCATTGTAACCTGTGTTGACGAATGACTGCGATGACGGAATAATACTCGTATCACGCCATAAGAACCCTGTAACTATACTGAGACCTTAGAACTCATATCTCAAGGTGGGTGGCGCATTTACGTTTTAAATGTCTATGGGCTCCAGTAACCACTTAACACCAGGCTGGGCTGTGAGCTCGTCCACCCATAAAAGCAATAAAAAAAAAGAAAAAAACCTACAAATTATACAAATGTGCGTCATTTTTTTATATAGAGCGTTATCAGTTGGCACTAGTCGATACGATCGTTCTTTCTGTTTCTGACGCGATGTAACAAACAGAATTGGCTTCAGTTCCTAACCGTTTAACCTAATAAATGCTCATCTGAAAATTTACACGGAAAAATTTAAGCCGAACAAACAAATATTGCTTTTGAAAGACAATTTAATTTAAACAAACAGGCGTACGTATTGACAGCTGTCAATCATGTAGATTGTACGTACATCAATGTAGGGAGGGTTGACACAGTGCCAGTGTATTTGTTTTTCCTTATTGTTTCTTATTCATCTCAGTAAGATCTCGACATGCAACATCAACGATCGATGAGTAATCATCAGGTACACGTTTGGCTTTTTAATTGACTGAAACTTTATAATTACTTGATCAATGTTAGCTATGCGATTTATAAATGTATACTCTTTAGTAGCCTTAAGAGGCATTTTCATATATTAATATTTCGATTGGTATTTACAGTTTTAACTGCCGTTCGTGATATTCTTATGCATGAAACAGGCCATGTCTTAGCTTTGAGATTATTGTTTAATTAATATTATTTAATGGTATTTTGATTCATTAACATACATTCTTTAATTTAGAATACAAAAGAAGAAAAATCTAAGGACTATAAAGACTAAGCTTCTAAGATTAAGGACCTAAGATTAAGAATGTTCACTGAGTGTGATTTTTTTTTTTTAATTTCAGGCGGAACGTGGAAGAATATGTGGATTTCCCTCTCAACCAAGCGGAAAGAATATTTGATGTCACTGGTTTTAGAAAGGATAAACCGGTTGTTTTATATGTGCACGGATTCATTGAAATAGCACAACAAGAGAGCATACGGGTATGTAAAATGTTCACAAAAAATATGTACATACATATATTATGAGAAACGCCCATAATATTGGGATAATTCAAATAATTATATTCAAATACTATTAAATAGTACGCATATTATCGTAGCCTTCTTGTTTTGCCTACCTATGCTGATTGCCTTGAGAGGTTATTTCAGCTTCGCCCTAAGATGTAGGTGAGCTCACGGGGCTCAAACCGGAGTGTTGCTAACAATGGCTTTAGCAAGAGCAGTGCTTCGCAGAATCTACCACCGGATCGGAAACGCGACCCACTGAGTGGATCCGGTGTGAAACTCAGTAGGCTGTGTCTGTGGGTTAAAGCCTTCGACTTGTCGTTCCTTTATTGCTCCGGATAATGGTACTAATCAAACATTTTGTTGATTGTCGCTCTCCATTGATTTCTGTAGCTGGTTTGATCACTGTACTGAAGTTTATCTCTAATTGTTCCTATACCAGATCCGTCAGCCGGCTTGGAAGTAATTTTCTTACCCACAGCTTAATAATTTCACATCTTTGTATTTTTATCAACAACAATGGTTTGAATCCAAGGTAATCCTGCACTCATGCCTAAACTAAATAGTGTATTAATTAAGCGAACGAATCTTGATTCCCAAAAAATCTACTTTAATATACGTTAATTATAAATACTGTGCTGATAAACTATTAACAAATTTCGTTCTGTTTGTGCTTGTTAGGAGGTCGTGAATGCGTACTTAGAGGCGAAACCCGAGACCAACGTAGTGCTACTGGACTGGTCGAATATGTCACATGGGTCATATTTAGTGAATGCTGCAAGGAATACAGAAAAGGTAAGCGCTTCGGGCTTTTGGAGACAGCAGATGCGAAACTGCACTTTTTAAATTTCATTTTAAAGATGTTAATTTTTTTTGTTCTTGTGAACTCTTGCTGACTGTCTCGTCTTTTGCCAATATCTTGGTAAATAAATAAATAGGCTTTTCATTATTTTCGCTATTTATTACTAGCGCCCCGCTCCGGCTCTGCTCGGGTCTTTAACAAAAATTTCAACGATATTTGATGTTGTTTTATTTTTTTAAATAAAAGAACACTTATTGCGGTATAACTATAATAGTTAGACATATGCGGCCGCGACACATTTTGTAAATAATAATGTGTTCTACAAAGTCGTAGTACATTATTTTTTTCTATCATCAATAGTTTTCGCAGGGCACGCGATGTAAAGAATATTTTAGGTATTTTTTTACACCTTGGCTTACTTTATTGGTGTTTTAGTATCGATGCCTAATTTTTTTTAAAAAAAATTATAGCCTATGTCTCTCGGGAATAGCGTAGCTTCCAAACAGTGACGGAATTTTTGTAATCGTTTCAGTAGTTTCAGAGCCTATTCAATACAAACAAACAAACAAATCTTTCCTCTTTATAATATTATTAAGTATAGATGACACCGTCTGAATTTTATCGCATTCGCATTGATACATAATTATGCTAAAGACATGAATGAAATGATCTTTGGCCTCCTCAAGATAGGTACTAAAGTCGTCGGGGCCTAAAGGTTAAGATGCGGTCTACTCCTGTATAGTGATGCGACTAGTTTCTATGGAAATACGTGCTCAATACGTTTCCGCTGATTTCCACTATGAAGGAATAACATCATGTAATAAATATTAAAATAGCGAAGATGTTAAATTTGTGTATTTATTGGTAGGTCGTATAGTCTTTCAACTATATAGTACAATAAAAAAATTTACCTAGAATCGGATGAAAAAACGAAATTACATAGAATAATAATCGTTAAATTTCCGTTACTAAGTAAATGTTTTACTGGTGGTAGGACCTCTTGTGAGTCCGCACGGGTAGGTACCACCGCCCCGCCTATTTCGGCCGTGAAGCAGTAATGCGTTTCGGTTTGAAGGGTGGGGCAGCCGTTGTGACTATACTGAGACCTTAGAACTATATCTCAAGATGTGTGGCGCATTTTACGTTGTAGATGTCTATGGGCTCCAGTAACCACTTAACACCAGGTGGGCTGTGAGCTCGTCCACCCATATAAGCAATAAATAAAAAAAAAGTGTCATAATATTAAGTATGAACAATAAACAAGATTGTATACACTGTATAAGTTACAGTACTTTACATGATAAGTGCCATAAATATAAGTATGCCTTAAGGATAATCACGTTCGTTTGTGTGGAAATGTGCCTCTTAAACATTCATAAAGTATGATTTTCATTAATACCGAGAGAAACATTATTTATATTTTGGTTTTTTTGGATTCTCCGTACAAAATTGAATCGTGGTTTGTAAGGTTATTTCATGATTTTGTGTATTCAATATTTAGTTTAATCGCTTTGTGTGGAAAAGTAGAAATGCAGTTATAACTCTGCTCTTTAAGTTTCTCAAACACTTGGGTCTTATAAAGAACCCTTTTTTTTAATATTTACTAACGATCACGCCACGTTAACTGGTCCCGTGATAAGTTCGTAAAGAACTTGTGTTACAGGTACCAGATAACGGAAATAAATGTAAGATTTTTATTATACACATACATATATTTAATATACATCCATAACCCTGGAAAAGACATTTATATTTATCATACAAATATCTTCCCTTGGCGGGATTCGAACCCGCGACCCCCTTATGTAGTGACCATGTCACTTAACACTACACCAGACGGCCGTAAAACGAGAGATTTCGTTTCGAGATGCTCAATAGTCTACCCTTGTAGAGTTGTATATAAATATAATTTTTGTTAGTTAAAACATCCGAAATTCTAAGTGTGAGAAGACAGGCGAGGAGTATATAAAATAAGTATTTTTTTCTTTAAGAATATAATATTAGTTAGTGACGACTCTCTCAAGCGTAAAAGCGATTCTCAAAACGGAATACTTTTAAATAAATATTACATATCCTATATGCTTAATTAAATCTAAACTGATCGTATTTTTGATTATTCACGATTGTAACTATACTGAGACCTTAGAACTTATATCTCAAGGTGGGTGGCGCATTTACGTCGTAGATGTCTATGAGCTCCAGTAACCACTTAACACCAGGTGGTCTGTGAGTTCATCCACCTATCTAAGTAATATAAAAATAAAAAATAACTTATCATAACTTCCTACAGATTTTATAATCTCTACTGTTATTGTTACTGTATAAAAGTAAACCAAAACCTCGGAAAGAATGCATTAAAATGAAATATAGAACAAGTTATTATGTATGCGACTCGTGAAAGCCCATTACTACAAAACAAGTTTACTTAAAGAACTGCCTAATTGTAATTCTACTTACTCATAATACGTAAAATTTAATAGAAGCAATTCTGAAACCTGTATTAACACGTAACCCGTAGTCACTTTCTTATGAACAATAACAAGCCACTTATGCCTTTATCACGGAGACCAAATACCGGTTTTATAACGTAACAAATAAATTTTCTTAAATCACAGGTAAAATTACATAAAACCAGTTTAAACGGTTCACCTTCAAAATTCTTACGACATCAGAACGTTAACCCAACAATGTCGTTGGAATTTAAACTGTATAATAATTGCGTAGGCCAGACACTTCGGCTGCTGATGGCCGCTATAGAAACTCGATGTGGAACAATAAAAACACAAATAAAAAAATATGAAATTAATAAATCATCATTTCCTCTATTGTTTGAGTGTCTTCATTTTGCTCGAAATTCAAATGCTCATTAAAAAAGTTCACTTACAAATAGGTTTAATGCGAAATGTTTCGAATAAAAATTAAAACATGAATACTATATTTTCTTCTCAAAAGGCTAAAAAAATGAAGTATTTTAAAGGAATTCAAATTTAGTAGAGCAATTACCATGACCATGACCACGCTACACGTAGTAATACATATTCACATAGTTTGTAACCTTCATCAACACACACGTGAACTGTTTATTTCACCCACCTAGTTTTCGACGTCGGTGGGTGGAGGTTGGAACAGGAATTGTGACTTAAATCTTGCAATATTTCTCCATTACAAAATTATTTATATAATGAAGTAAGCCCTTAACTGTCCTTATTACAGTTGAATTGAAACTCAATAAAAAGTACACACTTCAGGTGTTGTCAATATTAAAACGTTAATGGAGATCTTCTCTCTTCAATTATGATCATTTACTTTAATTTTTATTAAGTAGACTGGATAAATAGACTGGACAAGGGATTTCCTGTAACGCTCCATCGAACCTGACCTTTATCACTTCCCATCTGCTTGTCTATGTTTGTATCTCCAAAGTAGTCGCTACGTAAAACAAGTAAACGGTTACTTTAACAAACTACTTAATTGATTTCAGGTAGGAACAGCAGCGGCCGAGCAATTAAACAAACTGATTGACGCAGGCATACCTTCTGAAAAAGTACACCTCATTGGACATTCGCTTGGCAGCCATGTTGCGGGATACACAGGAAGAGAACTGAGAACCAAATATAATAAAACCGTTAAAAGGTAATTCCTTTCTAGTGCCGCGGCGCCGCGTCGCTGCCACTTAGTTCATAAGTTACTTGTAAGGTAAACGTAAGCCAGGCTAAGTTTAAAAAAAATTGAGGGGATATGCTGTCGCCCGTGGATGATCACAGGAGGAAAGAAGAAGAAGCCACACCAGCTCATAAGACACAACCCAGCAAACTCATCAACCCTGCCATATTAGGTAAAGAGCATACACTCGAGTAGTGGGGGACTCTCTGAGACTTGATCCGTCGGAATAGCTTCTTCTTGGAGAAAGGGGCATGGCAAGGTAGCCCTCTTAACGGGGTTGCCATGAATTATATCTTCGACCCAGCCAACAGGGCAAGGCAAAGCCGCCTTCGCACTAAACATGTCCTATCGGACTCTCCCGACCCATTCTCGGCACTTGTAGGTATTTAAAGTGCCCGTCACAGCTCTCGTCGAACTCATCGGATGCGATGAAGAGTTTGAGGTGCAACCTGCGCATAAACAACACCCACTGAATTTTTCGTCGGATATTCTCTGTAGGTCGCGATTCCGATCCGGTGTTAGTTTCAGCACTGTTTTTGCTATGGCTAATGTTTGCAAGTCCTCTCAGCTCGAGCCTCTTAGGGTAATCACTTACCAATCCGTACGTAGTTCGAATAGCATTTTGAGGTACTAAATATTAAGTAGGGAAGAAAAAGCTTATTTTTTCTATAGTTAATCTCGAACTAATTGTAATAATATAAATATGATTTTCGAATATGCTGAGTACAAAATCAGACTTCCTTTTTGTTACTGTTATTTTTTTAGAAAACCGCTTTTATGTGAATTCATATATTCTTGCTCACTTTTTTTTAGATTACTTTCCTCATTACGATGTTGCTCGCCTATAAAATTATAACAATCTTAACTCAAAAATAATTCATAGATAATATTGGGTACTCCAGAATAAATAAACAATAAAAGACCAACCCTTGCTTGCAAATGTCCTGCAAAAATTTTCTTCCCATTTTTTCCATTCTGAGTCTATATTCAATTTCATTAACATACAATTATACCAATCTACACTACTGTACACTAAAAAAAATTTTAAAATTTCTATTTTGTTTTTGTCTTCTTTTATTTTAAAACGCTCACATTCCTTATTGAAATCTTTAATCCATTGGTAAGCGTTTGGATTTCTCCCAGAAAAATTTTCAATGAAGAATTCCTTAGAAATTTTGTTTAAATTTTGAGTTTCCATTTTATTTATTTTTTCTTCAAGCATTTTTTCCAATAATTTTTCAACGGTCTGATTCGAATTGTCAGTTATAGACTTAGCATTGCTCTCCGAAATTTATTCCAAATAAAAATCATCAAATTGTAAATTTTGATCCTCGTCTAAATAAATTCTTGACATATCATATGTCAAAGTAATTCATACTTTTCTGGTTTGGTGTCTTTTGTTTAAAGATTTTTTTACCTTTGCATAATTTGGAGTTTTTATAATTTCTTCATGAAAATTGGCATTTTGATATTCAGTTGGTATCCCAAAAATCTGTCCATCAGGTGTAGCAATTGAAGTTATGCATATAACATTTGATTTTCCATCTTCCGCTGATTTCACAGCAAAATCAAACCTTAATTTTTCCATTTTATTCATGGTGTTGCAAAAAATGTTGTTTAATAATGATATTGGGTACTCCAGAATAAATAAACAATAAAAGACTTAATTGCGTTTTCTGTTATGTGTATAATGAGAAAACAACATTTAAAGCCCTTAATTTAATAAAATTATTATTTTTTTAACAAACTAAACTTTCTTTTTACTGAATGTCAAACTTCACTGAATGACATATAAGAAAAATCCTTTTTATAAAACTAAAGAGTTTTAGACTATGAAGGTTTTCCTTTACACATAAATTTCTAAAATATTCTGTAACCAACAAAATCTTTTAAAACTTGACTTAAGTGATAAATATTTGATGTCTTCGTAGCTATTAGCAAATTTTATCATTACACTTGACTTTAGGACTTAAAGATGTATGTTAAAATATAATAGCACATTTAAAAATACATTAAACAATTTGGTTGTTGTTCAAAATCACAATTTCAAAAAACAAAAAAATTTGAAATGAGCTCTACCAATTATTATTTTTTTCTTTCTAAAAACCTAACATGACTTATCATTCCAATGTTAAACATAGTAGTACATAGTACATACCTCTTTTTCGTACAGATTAAGAAAAAATATTTGTGCTTAATTTTAAAACTCACAATCGTTCCTGAAGGTCATACGTGACGCGTAACGTCAGCAAAAACCACATCGGACTGTTTTTATTGTAATATTCGTGTTGTGACCTCACATAATTACATTAATATTAACCATTTAATATACTTTATGTATTTTGAAGTAATCGTGGCCTAAAGGATAAGACGCAACGGTGCTCGAATCCCACAGACCAATTTTTCTAATGAAATACTTCCTTAGCAAATGTTCACGATTGACTTCCACGGTGAAGGCATAACACCGTGTGATAATAATCAAACCCACAAGATTATAATTTGGGTAATTACTGGCGGTAGGACGTCCTGTGGGTGCGTACGGGTAGGTACCTACCACCACCCCGTCTATTTCGTTATATCCGTATAAGATACGTTATAAGATATCCGGCGCCGCCCCTACCTTTCGGGCTGCGGGTCTATGTGTTCCAAGTCAGGGAAACAATTTTTGCAATCTTAACTTGATCAGCCCATTTTAAGGGAGAAATCCTGCGTGGTGCGGCGTACCGTAATGCGCTCTACATTTAATCGACGGTCAAGTTTGATGCATTTGAATTATTTTTCAAATAAAATTTACACTTCAGACTGTATAGACGAAATAAAAATTAGAAGCTACTCTTTGTATTGTTGTGCACACAGCTGAGAAAATTTTATTGTCATTCTATATGTATTCTTTGTAATGTATTTTCGTAATCGGTAAATAAATGATTAATTATTCTGTTTTAAGTTGCCATGAAACTACTGATATTTCGTATAAAGTCGGATAATTTGCTGCGAACTAATGTGAATCATACCACTCAGATCATGTTTTTAATTTTCTTGGGCCGAATATTCGACTGATTGAAACTAAATATAGATATTTTTTGACGGTAGGCTTAGTCGGTAAGAAGACACTCTATACCATAACAAACGATGCTACAAGTATTATGTCTAGGCTCAAATCTTGTTTCTTTCTTTTAGCTTTTAATTTTGGTAGCATCAATAGCGAAGTTGCAAGAATTTTTTGAGTCATGTCCCTGGTAAGCTCGCCTTATCTACCCTTTACTACTACTGAGTCAAAATTGAAGTATCTCCACCGAATATTTCAGATTAACTGCCCTCGATCCTGCTTTTCCAGCATTCTACCCGGACGGTGTGATGATGGAACACGTGAACGCTAAAGATGCAGAGTTTGTGGATGTTATTCACACAGACGCAGGGGGATACGGAGCTCCTGTCCGGACCGGTACGGCAGACTTCTGGCCCAACGGAGGCAAGAGCACGCAGCCCGGATGCCCAAGATTCGCTCCTATACCCTTATCAGATGACAGTGAGTTATTTGAAAAGTAGATACCTTCAAGGAAGACTTCCGCGATAACGGAATAATCATCATCATTATCCTGCCCTTCTCCCAGTCACTTGGGGTCGGCGCAACACGGTTCGTCTCTCACTCTCCTCTTACACAAATCGTCTTTCACGCAATCCATTAATTTCTTCTTAGGTCTACCTCTTCCTCTATATCCTTCTACATTCATAGTTAACACTCTCTTACCAGCCTCATTTTCATTTCGTCTCATTACATCTCCATATGATCCCAAACGCACACTTCTCAACTTCTCTGTCACATGTGCCACTCATATTCATTCCGGTATATACCGCTTTAACAGAATAATATTAAAATTATATTCGACACAATTACCAGTGGCGGGGCGTAAAGTGTACTCTATCCAAGTTGAAAACTAAACTATTTCTGCCATAAAACATTTGGCCACATTAAGCAGTGGCCATTCAGTTTCTTATAATACCTACAATAGAATTGCGCGTTGGGATATCACAAAATAGCTAGTGGCATTCACAACTGTATGCTCAAGTAATATTCAATATTCAGAGAGCCGTCAATTGAGGATTAAAAGCATAACATTTAAAATAAAATCATTAAAGCAGCTTAAAAATCGATGTTTGGCACCTTATTTATAAATAAAATATTTGTAAAAAATGCAATCCTCTCTTTCTGATAACATTAATGAGCCCATTAATTTCATGAAAGCATGAATTTCATATCAATATTTCAATCAATATCAATTGGACTTATTTTAAAAGAGTGAAATGGTTACCAAATCAAAACCGATATTTATTACATTATAGTCTTAATAAATAAAAGTAACTTAATTTAAAGATTTCATTGTGATTTAAAAAACGAAAAGTCTCTCTCAATCCTATATGCTCCTAGTTTTCCTTGGTAGTTTGACTTCGAGCTTATATTTAAAACTCAAAATACAAACTGTGTCAAAAATTTGGTACAGAAACAGTACAAACTATTGGGACTGAGCCAAAAGTGTGCGTGCAAAATGATTGGTAAATATATTGTTCGAAAAAATCGCTTATTGCTACGATAACATTTACCAAATAAAAAATATAGTTCTGTATATTACAAAACCATATTTATCTCGTAAAAAACCATCAGCAACCTAGCTGCCTTACTCATCAAATCAAAATCCAAGACTAGGTCTCAGGCAGCTAGCTATCTTCCTGCTCTATCGTAATTATTCTCAGTTCAAATTTGATTTGAACTAAGAATATGCTGATTTATGCTGGTGGTTGTTGTATTACAAAGGATTTCATTGGATTCATCAAAATCTATGTTGACGAAATCTTAGAATATTGTCTGATTTGTCAGTCGGTTTTTTAAAAACTCTGGCCTTATTATAAAACAACCGTGTTGCAATGTAGTAGTTGCATAATGAAACCGGTTTTGTTGTGTTAATATTGACACCGGTTCAATGAACTTTTGGGATACCTCGTGTCTCTCGCTTTCTCTCAATATATTTTTACAAGCATAAAGAGACGGATGACGTCCGCACCACATGTCGACCAGTTAGTAAAGAAAAGATGATTTTCTTGATCGGCATCTGGTTTTTGTTACGAATTGAAAACGTTTGAAATATAGGATATTTTATCGATTTTTTGCGCATATTTACGTGAACTAGTTCACTTCTCATCTGATTACTGGAACCTATGGCCATCACAATGTGAAAACCGCCTCCCACTTTGAGACATCTAGTAAATATTCTGATATACAATGACTGTCATATTTGAGATTAACAGATAAATGCTCTATATTATCTCGAATATTACGCACAACCACAACGATTATCTTTTGAATTCTAAAACTGTCACCCCATTTTAAAATAGTTGCCTCCGTCTATTTACAGTTATATCACCAGCTTTGAGATAAGATAGTTTATCGTTTTCTCGATAACGCATTAAACAAGCATGATAAAACAATGATTTTACACTCAAATCTAATAATAAGTATTGGTTTTGATTGACAGTATCTGTTTATGATAACTAGTGACTAGAAACTTGAGAATAATCCATTAAACCGTCCAATAATTGCAGCCATTATTTCGTGGGCTTCTGTTTACTGTTTTATTGCCCTTGTAGGCACACGGGCATAAGGGTAGGGCATACGGCCCTCGTGACGGAGAGTGGACGGAGAGCCCCCAAAAAGTGGTTACCGTTGCTCAAGGAAGTCAGCAATGCCAAGGACAGAGCCAAGACCAGTTTAATATTCGTTTACTAAAAAAAACACGTGTGGCACTCGGGGACTGCCGCGGTAAAGCTATTGCATAGCATTTTTTATCTACTTATGCAATTATAATTACACAATAATAATTTAATATTAAAACATTAATAAAATAAGACCACGCTATATTTATAAACATTAACAAAAACAAAACATTAACTGTCCCCTTCACACTCATAAGTTAGACCGCGCGAGAGAGAGATGGGAAGACTTTTCATGATGCGCATGCAGTGGTAGGCGGAGTGGGGGGTGTTAGGTTTTCTTTTCGTTACGGAATTTCTTGATGCGGTCGCCGCGCTCAAAACCCGCGATAAAAGCTATGCAATAGCTTACTGATACTTTATTTTGCTACCACAACAACCAAATTATTGTTGTAAGACATTTATGAAATACATTTTATATTCTCACTACTACTACGCTACATTTTAATGTAACGAATCGTTAGTTAGTATACATAAATAATTACCTTAAAGTAACTGTTACCGAATACTCTTATTAGTTGAATGCGCGCAATATAACACAATTCCTAAACATACGACCTCTGTGGTCAACCGTCTAGTGTGACGCGACGCCTTGAATTGCAATTTAGATGGCGGTGATATTTTAAATAATTACCAAAGCAATATGAAGCAATATAATATGTTCTAAGTAGAATTAAATTATATAATTTTCGAAATTTACGTTTCTTTGCGTACAAAAAGAATTAACTGTAACTGAATAGTTCTGGTATCACTGTCATAAGCATATTGAGTTGAATACAGAGCATATTGACAAACACAAGCCTCTGTACCGTAAATTATTTATATCCGCAATGTGCTGCTTAACTAATCAAAATTTATCTTTTAATCTGACCTTTGCATGAGAGCTCACAATCACAGTACAATTCATAGACACCAAAGTAAAGCAGAGGTATGCCACACATAACATTTCTTAGACTGTCGATGCACATTATAGACTAATTATGTTACTAGAATTTCTGATTATCAATGAAACTGAGAAAGCCAATAATTGTTATGTTTTTGCATTTATCGCCTAGACGATCTGCCTGGTGTGAAGTGGTTACCGCAACAAAGTAAATGATGTCACCCATCTTGAGACATGAGTTCTAAGATCTCATGTATTTACAGTACCACGGCTGCCTCACCCTTCAAACCGAAACGCATTAACGCTTCACGGCAGGAATAAGCAGGGTGGTGGTACCCACCCGCGCGGACTCACAAGAGGTCCTGCCACCACTGAAAACCTTTGTTCATATTTCATTGTCAAGTTCAAGTCATTTACAAAAAAAATATTAACTTTATCGTGGGTAAATAATGTCGTCGGTTTAATGCTATTTTTTCTCTTTAAGATTTATGTAGTCATTGGAGATCGTGGAGATTCTACGCCGAATCTGTAAGGAATCCCGAGGCCTTCCCTGCATCTCCTGCAGAATCGTTTAGCAAATTTAAAGATAACCCCACACCCGAATTAGGATTGGTATATATGGGTTTTAATTGTGACCACAGGTGAGTGAACTTTGGACTGCCGCTGCGCCGTGGAGTGCCGCTATTATTCAAGTACTCAATTAGAGACGCGTAAAACAACGACCTTATGCAGCGATAGAGTATATCTTCAAGAACTACTTTAGAACATTCAACAGACAACAGAACAGAGATATTTTTATTTCTATTTTTTTATATTTTTAAAAGAATATCTACTCTAATAAAATCTACGTAAATAAACCATCGCTTTACAGAGTATAGTTTGGATTATCTACGTAATACCATATTAAAAAATAGCAAATATAATAAATGGTAGTAAAAGCTTTGATAGCGAAATAAATTATTTATTTCTTTATTTTTTTAGTGCGAAAGGATCTTACTACTTAACAACAAATGGAAAGACTCCGTTCGGGAAAGGAATCGACGGATTGTATCCGAAAAGAAAGAAAGAATCTACAAAGAAAGCATAAGTGACTGTGTACATCTAGAATAGGAAACAAAAAACTAAATGTAGAGTTTTATTGGAACGATGTGTTGTTAATAAGTAAGTTTATGATCTTCTAGCAAGTTTTAAATTGCATTTTAAAATAATATAATATGAAATTGTGATTGTTTCATTTGAAAACTTAATAATTATTGTAAACAGATTTTTATATAATATGGTCTATATTTTTAGTAGGCCGTTTGATAACTCTACAGAAGCTCAAAAAATACGGACATCACAAGAACGCGCAAAGCTTAAACAAACACACAAATATACATTTTTTATTTATACATTTGATTGTAACAAGACTTATTCAGTATAAAAAAAATACATGACATCATCAAAGACTAAAGAATTTCGTGTTTCTTTTGGACTAAGTTTTTTTTTTTTTTCAATTCAATCAAAAACAAATGTTGTTCCACCTCATCACACACTCTAATGAACGTCCGTGGCTTTTTATTGATCCAAATAAAATTACCTTATATGATTTTCACAAAAAATTGTTATGAGTATTTATTTGTACCTAATTTTAAATGTGAAGGAGATTTTTTTGATCGAGCGATGTACGGATTATATAAATTAGGAGTAAAAAAATTGTAGTTACCAAATATATTTGAAAACTTATAAGATATAGACTTGTGTCAAAACGGACTTATATTTTACTTAAGTAACATTCAAGGCATTTTTTGTGAACTGTTATTAAGCAACAATAACTAATATTTATGGTATGTATCTATCTTCATTGTGTGTAGATTCTGATTATAAATATCTAAATAGCTTAAGGAAGTAACAGTATTTAGCATCACAAAATACTTATTTATTACCTTCAATAAATATAATATTTTTTGTCAATGTTAATTATTCAATTATATCACTCCAATTTAGTACAATTAAATAAAAAAATTGAGCGCCATGGAAGGCTTTGATTCGCGGTTAACATTATCTATTAATATTTCTAATGAAGCAAAAAAGTGCTATTTAAAATTACATATATCAGTATTCTCATAACTTTATAAGTTAATTTAGCCTCATAAAAAATTCAAAATTGAATGATATTATGATGATATTTATTTTGTTTTAATATTACAAATTATTATAATTGAATTATTTGGAAGAAATGAATCTGATAGATTTTTAAAGGTTTAAATTAATTTAAAGGTTTTTTTAAAGGCTTTTCGAACCTTTTTAAGATGGAGAAGAAGGACACATTCTCACATTGTTTTAAGGCTGCTGGAGAAACAAACATTATATTTATTCATATTATTATATAATATTATATATTCATTTTAATAAGTTATTTTGAAGTTTAAATGTATAAAAATGGTACTGGATTACACGATATCTAAAGGTACTCGGAAAATGTTTCGGTTATTTTTATTTTATTTTTAATACATGACTAATGACTAACTGTAAGTGTTCCACAAGTACTTAAATAAGCAATTGTTTTAATGATTAAATATTAATATAATTTAAAAAGACTTGAAACAAGTTTTGTTAATACTGTTATCGTTAATAAAATTGATAAAATCAGTGAATGTCTTTTTATTGATTGAAAATAAAAAACATATTTAAATAAAAGTGAAACACGTGCTATCAATCGCTTAGTATGCAATTACCACAATCCGGTTCGATTCTGCCATTATCCACTCATTGTCATGGTGTGGTGCAGCTGTTACGCAATATTGTTGAGGCTTCGGTCTCATGTGTCAAACTGGACCGCGGCATACACTCCTATGAGACGCCTATGATCTCAAATATACATTTAATACCAATTCTAATAGCAGAACTCACTTGCACATCTATAGCAATTAAAATCCTTTTAGTACCACTATGGGCTTAGATTTATATTGATGGTTGGACGACGTTTATTACTTGTAGTACTTAAAATACGAATATATAAAAAAATGTACAACGTATTTTTTTTATTCAAACTGGGAACATGACAATAATTCGAAATTGAATTTAAATAAAAATCCTTAAATAATTTCCTAGATTGCAGTCTGGTATATATAATACCTCTGCACCAAGAACGCTTTCCAGATATCCATTACCGTTAGTTATTCACGTTAAGGAAACGTAATTTTATTGAATTTTAATGTTAAATCCAACGAATAGTGAACAATATATCTGAAACATTTCGGAATACATAATAAATAAATTAAAATGCTCACTTGTTTTAATGTTTTAAAATCGACAGTTAAAGCGTTAATAAAATATTTAGAGATAAAAACTGTTCACAAATAAAAGATGGCGGCCAGACATATATTATTATGGTAATCTTAGTATATATTTGTTAAATTAGATATAGTGCATTATGAGTAAATACAATAACTTCTACTGCTGCTAAATAACCATATAAAATCAAGTCAAATTAATCACTAATTATTCAACATATTCAATAAGTTCTGCCGCATGTGAATTCGGAGTCACATCCTGGAAGGGCGTAGTAGCATTACTAGATGTACCATAAACTTCTGTGACGAATTTTGTCGTCCAAAATATTGAAAAAGCGAAGGCACCGAGCAAGAGGACACTGAAAATTGAAAATATAATTGTATAAGTAATCTTAACTTTCTAGACATCACGATGTGAATTTTGCCCACCCTTTTTTGCCAACTTCGCCTTGAAGGGATTTCTCTTAGAGACAAGGTTGAAGTCTCCATTACATTATATAACAGAGGTTCTCAAACCTATTTTGTCTACTGCCCACTTCGAGAATAAATTATTTTCTAGCGCCCCCATTTTTTCACCTACTTAAAACCACCTTAGTCCTGACCTTAGTCAGTGAGCCAGTGAGGCGCTACTCCCCTCATAAAAATAGAATAAAATGGATTGACTTTACTAAATTATTTACTAACCTACTCGACTAAATTTTTGGTGTTCAGACACATTTAGCTACTAATTTACTCGGTACTCGACTAAAATACTCGCCTAGTCCGAACCAGGCTTAAGAGTCCTTCTAGATGAAATTACAAATCGCCTCCCAAGCCTCTACACAACGCCCCAATTTTTTTTCTGGGTCTCTTACCGCCCCCCTTTAGGCCTGCTTAGGGTGCGTTATCACCCACTTTGGTAAAGGCTGTTATATAATGATCGCTAAGTGGTTTAAACCGGAACATATGCTTTGCGATTTAAATAGGGCACATAGTGGTAACCACCCACCCATATAGCTTTAGAATACGTGTTTCCACCATTAAATTCCGTTTCGTGGTCGCATTGTATTACTGGCTTAATATTAAAAAAAACGCTGCTGGTCGTACTCTGATGAATCCTTCAGCCGCAGCTTGTGGACACCCAACGGAGGAGATAGGTTCGTGCTGTTAATTTATAATCATACTGTAACGCTTATAAAGAATAATTTCAAGGAGACAGCAAAATTCCTGTCCACCGCCCTGACAAGATGAATGTCTCAATCAAATAATATTAAATAAATATGTACATATCAATTTAAACTTACATTCCCACTGCCATAGTAAATAATCACCAGCTTGTAGCATCAAAATAATTTATAGTTTTCTCCCAAATGACTCAGCTCTGAAAACAAATATGAAATAAATAAAACATTTTACTAAAATACTTTTCACCGCACATAAACACTACATATTAAGTTATAGTCGTTAAGCACACATGTGCAACCGACATTAACAAAAAAAAAGGATTATATATTAAAAAAACATTTGTATAATGTGTGTGATACTAGATAGTCCGGATAAGGGGTATTTCAGTAGCAATGAAGTAAAATATTATTCAGTTTTTTATTATATTTCAGCGCAATTAATCGTACAATATATCGTTATATGATTTTTTTTATAAATAAAATAAACAATTTTTTAAAGCACAAAATACGTAAGTACTTAAGTTACAAACTATTGGAAAGGATGAATATGTTAAAATGCAAAGAATAAACGCGGAATTAAACCTTTAAGCAGCCTTTCTGAAAGTGGGCGATAACGCCCCCTTGTGGGCGCTGCAAGCTTAAAGGGGGGCGGTAAGAGACCCAGAAAAAAAATGGGGGTGTTGTGTAGAGACTTGGTAAGCGATTTGTAATTTCATTTAGGAGGACTCTTAGACACCGGCTGAGTTCTCGCTATAGTGGTTTTTAAGTAGGTTAAAAAAAGGGGGGTGCTAAATAATAATTTATTCTCAAAGTGGGTAGTAGACAAAATAAGTTTGGGAGCCCCTTGCTTTAAAGTAACCCTACTGCTCATGGAACCCTAAAAAATACTTACATTGTATTTGGTTACAAAAATCGCAGTATAAGAAATAACGATCCTTAAAATTGTGAGTCGTTAGCGAAATCAGCGTACTGTGAATATCCGTCACCTGTTTTTCCATCTAATTTAATTAATTTATCTACCATTTTACGTACATCTTCACCGACCAAGAACAAACCAAACATTAGCACTCCGGTCAATAAAAACCTAAAAAAAAAACCAAAATATTACGTAATTTTACATAATAATACCATAACTTATACAAAATATCTTGCCATATCTTTTTTAGCAAGCAACTTACTGTTTTCTTAAAAAACAAACATTTTTAGTGTTGAAAGCTTTTTGAATAATTGCGATCGATGTTCATCGTTGTAGCTCAACAATTACAATGATTGCCCGTCAAAGGTAGGCGGAACTGTAGCATCAACCCGCAACTTGTAACACCCACTAATTGTACTCAATTTAAAAACCAGGGGTGGAAGAATATATGTATCTTACTGGTGGTAAGACCTCTGACAAGTCCGCACGGGTAGATGCCACCACCTTTTTTTTTTTAGCGCTGTGGAATCCATTTACGGATTCCCGGTCAAGGGGGGTAACGAACCGGGCTATGTCGGACTCCAGCGCCTCCCAGGTGCCACCACCCTATCAATTTCTGCCGTGAAACAGTAATGCGTTTCGGTTTTAAGGGCGGAGCAGCCGTTATAACTATACTGAAACTTTAGAACTCATATCTCAAGGTGGGTGGCGGCATTTACCTTGTAGATGTATATGGGCTCCGGTAACCACTTAACACCAGGTAGGCTGTGAGTTCGTCCACCTATCTAGACAATAAAAAAAAAGTATGAATAAATATAATTTGAGACACTACTACTGTTATCATTTAATTTGTAATTAGCAGTTTTAATACCAACTAATATCCAAATTCAAAACAGTTGTACGAGCCTTGTAGGTTAGGCATGATCCAACTGAACCAAAGGCGCGCTATAAAATCAATTCTTATTATCAAATAAAAAAATACTAAACGTTACTCACAATCCAGCTTCCATAACCTTTACGAAGACAATGTACAAAGCGTTTTTTTAAGTTTAATATTAATTTATAACACCTTTGAATCACAGCCGAGATTATACTGAGCTGATGCACAAACGAGTGATCATTTAGTATAATATAAACAATAAAATCATAGCCGCTGATATTCCATTGTGAAAACATCGCTATGTTTAAAAAATAACACTCTTGTTTGGCTTATTGTAATACGAACAAAAACAAATGAATCACGATACTATTTGGTCTTGATGTTATTTATACTGACATTTTTATTTCAATTTTTTTTTCCATACCTGATATTGTTTTTATTATAATAATACTTCTACGTGAATGCTACGCCAATTCAATTATTGATTACCGTCGCTTTGATACGTCAGGAATACCAAACATCAAGAGCTCTTTCACACTATTTTCGAAGAAATATTGGTATATAAATATTGGTAAATACCATTTGGTATGACATACAATTTTATACTTAGATAACATGAAACTTAATGGAGATAAAATACACAAATTTAATAACGTAAGATTTATCTTAAAAGAGATTTAACCCACAGCCCACTGAGTTTCTCGCCGGATCTTCTCAGTGGGTCGCTTTTCCGATCCGGTAGTAGATTCTGCGAAGCACTGCTCTTGCTAGGGCCAGTGTTAGCATCACTCCGGTTTGAGCCCCGTGAGCACACCTACATGTTAGGGCGAAGCTGAGATAGCCTCTCAAGGCTATCAACATAGGTAGAAAAAAAAGAAAATAGAGATTTATCTCTTGGCTCTCAACATGCGGACGTTTTACTGATTAAAACGAAATTGATGACATTCACCGAACCATTTTATTTAAAAAATCACATCAATACAATTTTCCAGACAACAATCGTTCTATCCTTTCTTCGCCTAAAATTAATAATAAATTAAAATTAACTAATTTAACAAATTTAAATTAACGTAACATTAAAACAACGTGTTTCTCAACCTAGACCAGTTAAATTCGCCATAGGCACGTCATTGTTCATACGGTCCATTTCTAATAGATATTTGCCTCCAAGATATATGGACACCATGATGGCTCCTACCAAAAGTGCTCTGAAAATTAAAAAATATATGGTAGCATATTCAAGAGACTAATTACGTTGCAAACGAACAAAAGACAAACGAAATTCTTGTTCGTCACGTCGCATTGATAATTCATTGATAATTCAACCTGTGTCTCAAGAGAAGCCTTCACGTTGTGATATCTATGAGCTAATAATAGTTCATTTAAAGTCAGGCTGTGAGTTCGTCTCCTTACTTTTTGCAAAAGTAAAACTTAATATTGATAGACGCGAGTAACTTCACATGAGGCGCTATTATTATAAATACCACCCAGCTGCTCATGCAGGTGAAAAATATTTCTAATATTGAAAAAAGAAACCTTTTGATTTTATTAAAGTTTAGTAAAAAAAATTGAATCTATTAGATTTAATCACATAGACTATTAATAACAATAAAAATTAAACAAACTTTAATTCATTACGTATTCTTGAAAATTTTATTTAATTGAATTATTAACAAAGAAAGCAGAATAAAAATTGCGAAATAAAAAGTATAAAAATTATGCCGAATAGCAGTGATATACTGCTGAAAATCGAGCTGCCTCGCGTAAAGGGAATTTACATACAAAATGAAATATTTTTATTTAAATTACTTACAAACCGGCTACTGCCATTGTTTCCAATAATAATTAATTTAACAGGCTGCTTATCAACCACAATCAAACACGGCGAGTTGCTCTTAGCAAATATAATATGTTTTCTTTGCATTACTCTTAAATTTGAGATTCAGCGAAACGTGTTTACAAAAAAAATCACAATATTTTTGTTTGCAGCTATGTAGTAAATAAACAAATTCAGAATATTTCAGATAAATGATACAATAAAATAATAATTCAGACGATACCAGTTCTGTTTATAACAGTCCATTTACCTTGTGGGTTCATACTTGTACATAGGTTTTCCAATATAGGGCTTCATTTCATATTCTCGAAATGACAGCGTGATAGTGTAACATTGACGTAAGAGGAATTATTAAAATTTACCGAATTTCACGTTCAGCCAACGCTCGAAATTATTACTGACATTACTTAACGGCCGTCTGGTGTAGTGGTAAGTGACATGGTCACTACACAAGGGGGTCGCGGGTTCGAATCCCGCCAAGGGAAGATATTTGTATGATAAATATAAAAAAATGTCTTTTCCAGGGTTATGGATGTATATTAAATATATGTATGTGTATAATAAAAATATTACATTTATTTCCGTTATCTGGTACCTGTAACACAAGTTCTTTACGAACTTACCACGGGACCAGTTAACGTGGCGTGATTGTTAGTAAATATTTATTTATTTATTTAAAAAAAAAAAAAAAAAAAATTACCTCAACATTTAGAATTTTTTTGTATGTGCTATTTTTTCATTTGTTTTAGTTGGTATCTTTTTTTGGAACAGTGGGAAAATTTTGGTGTTCAATTTTTGTTATAGTAGGGAAAAATTCGTTGCAAATATTTATTGATAACACTTATAGCTCGTTAATAGCTGTAATACAAAAAATCTGTAGAACAAAGGAGAAAAAGAATTTAACTTTTTCGGCCTTTTTGCCTATGATCGATTGGTCACATTATGTGCAGTGTAAAAAACATTAGTACTGTAATAACATTCATCATAGAGGTATTTTAGAGACATAGAAAACAAACCTATTATCCTGAAGAGAGTGTGAAGTTAAAAATAATATTTATTCGTATGCGTTTCGGTAGCAGCTTCTGTTTCGATTTCCATATCAATTTCTGGACGATTCATAAAATATTTTGTCGCAAAATATGTTCCGAAAGCTATTATAGCTGTTACTAGTAAACTGAAAAAAAAAAAATAGAAACATTTACCCAGTTATTAAGAATTAAGAGGATGCCTGTTCAATCATTTTTTTTATTTTTTTTTATTGCTTATATGGATGGACGAGCTCACAGCCCACCTGATGTTAAGTGGTTACTGGAGCCCATAGACATCTAGAACGTAAATGCGCCAACCACCTCGAGATATAAGTTCTAAGGTCTCTCAGTATAGTTACAACGGCTACCCCGCCCTTCGAACCGAAACGCATTACTGCTTCACGGCGGAAATAGGCGGGGTGGTGGTACCTACCCGTGCGGACTCCCAAGAGGTCCTACCACCAGTGCTTACGCAAATTATAATTTTGCGGGTTTCATTTTTATTACACGATGTTATTCCTTCACCGTGGAAGTCAATCGTGAATATTTGTTGAGTATGTATTTCATTAGAAAAATTGATACCTGCCTGCGGGATTCGAACACCGGTGCATCGCTTCATACGAATGCATCGGACGTCTTATCCTTTAGGCCACGACGACTTTAAGTTATATAGCAATGAAACGTTAAACTACTGTAGCTAGGCCGTATATTTGTTACTAAGAGAATTAGTTTAATGTGTACTCTTTTATAAAGGCAATTAAGGTACTTCACACAATTTTTTTTTTTGTTTTTTTTTTATTGCCCTTGTAGGCAGACGAGCATACGGCCCACCTGATGGTGAGTGGTTACCATCGCCCATGGACTTCAGCAATGCCAGGGGCAGAGCCAAGTCTCTGCCTACCGCAATTTTGGGTTCACTGGTATAAATCCCTTATTATAGCTAGTAGCTAACATTGACAGATGAGCAAGTAACTCACAGACGATTGTCGAGCGTAAATATGCAAACTTAGCTCCCACTGGTGTGTATGGGTTGTCGGAGTTCATTGAACTACAGTTTGAATGTTACCACAAACTAAGCGGGGCGGGAAACATTTTTTTTTAAACTCGTAGTAACCACATTCAACCTTAGACTATTATAACAAAGACGTTGATCAAACGGGCCACGTGGTTCAAAAGTTTAGAGTCATTATCTAGTAGATTGACGAGACAATCATGTTTGCTTAAGAGAAGCTTAAGTTGTGCCTAAGAAATAGACAGAATATTGGTAAATACCAACATGCAAGTTCAGAATACAACCAATCGCTAATAATTAACCAAATTCTTATAAGCAATAACTCAACGATAAATGAGTCGTCTATTATCAAAGGTGGCAATCTGTGCATTTGGACAAAAAAATGTTATTGATATGTCAATACAGATTGATTTGAATATAATCGTTTCCTTCAAAGAATACGGTTCAAAAACTGCATTAAATAAAGGTTAATGCTTAACCTGTTATTTATCTAAGATGTCGTTCAGAAGAGTTTTGTGACTGCCAATGGAATACAAAGTCAATCATTCGTTTTTCTGATTTACCAATAATGGTAGAAAAGTCACATTGCCGGCTTTGATAATAGTCGACTCAAATAACTTCGTTCGAGCTAGGTACTTATTTACTAAGAAAAAAATGTACCTACTAAAGGATTTGAATATGGAGATTTATATTACTCGAAACGAGTTCCCCGGACGACTGTGGGATTAGGCTTCATACAAACATTAAGCTAAACAACGTGATTAATACGCAACGTAACAAAGGAACGACTCAGTGCTAGCTATTCCTCTCTCATGTTACGGAGCATAAAATAGTTTTAAGACCATAATTTTAACCATAATTTTTCGATACAATTAAAATGTTTTGTACTTACAATCCGAACGCCATATCTCTATTATTGTACTCAAGGTGAATTTATGAGACACTTTCGTATCACACGGCGTATTCGTGACATGTCGTGGGAAACAGATGATACAACCTATTGTATCATCTGTTGTGGTTAGTGAGTAATTTTTTTTTAAGCCTGGTCTACATGGGCAGTAAATCCCAGCCATGCGTCGCTGTGACAATCGACTGAATATGAAAAGGTGACGATTGTGCTTAGTGCGAGTTTTTTAACGTTCTCGATAGCGTAAAAGTTAACTCAAATTTGTATGTTTTTTTTTTATTTATTGCTTAGATGGGTGGATGATCTCACAGCCCACCTGGTGTTAATTGGTTACTGGAGCCCATAGACATCTACGACGTAAATGCGCCACCCACCTTGAGATATAAGTTCTAAGGTCTCAGTATAGTTACAACGGCTACCCCACCCTTCAAACCGAAACGCATTACTGCTTCACGGCAGAAATAGGCGGGGTGGTGGTACCTACCCGTGCGGACTCACAAGAGCTCCTACCACCAGTAAAACAGTGGAAGTGGAACAGCGCCCCTAGCGGCAAACGTAAGCAAACGCTCCAACTGCATGCAAATGCATACAAATTTGAGTTAACTTTTACGCTATCGAGAACGTTAAGAAACTCGCACTAAGCACAGATATTACGTTTTTTGTCGCAGATGAATAGAGAACTCAAGCCCTGAGCAGTCAGCAGTGCCCGTGTGATAAGTGAAAGTCGACATATTTTATATCTTGAGACGTCAAGTCGAAGACGCATCACGGATCGTGACATACTATAAATGCAATTATACGCGTGTTTGTAATAAAATAAGAAGTTTAAATAGCACTATATTATCCTTTTAAATATCATTATTTTTCCGCCATAGACAGGTAGTGTGGACCATTGTAAATTCTTAAATGCTATCAACTTTTTGATATGTTTTGGAATTTACAATCTTCACATATTATTTCAAAATATTCTATAGTAGTTCACCGTTTCATACTTTATTTATTAGGTGAACTCTAAATAATACGTGTGATTGTAAACGATATTACGAAATATAAACATTCGTAATAAATACACAAGCCTATTTCATATAATATTATAACATACTAAATCAACACGTCTAAAAACATTTTTATATTATATATTTCGGAAAAATATATATGTATGCAAATATAATAATAATAAAAAATACGCGATTATGTGCACCACCTTAATGAGCGGAAACAATCAATATTTATAAAACACTGCTGCAGTAATAAGCCTGATTTTCAAATCCTCGTAATAAGCGACATACGCGTAATGTTTAGTATCATATTCTTTTCAACTAGTATAGATGACAAACGCAGACAATTTTACGGCTCAGCGTAGAACAGTTACTAGAGCCCAAGAAAACTTTAAAGCGTATGCCATCGCCCAATTTGAATCATGAGGTCGATTTCTCAATTTTTCTCGAAAAATGCTACCCTATTTTAGCACGTTCATTGCATTGCCCCTTATCAAAATAGAAAGGCCATGATACCAACGTGACTTGTAACAAGCCCATCACAAGTTCCTAGGATAGTACCTAGTTTAATAGACAGAGTAAGCAGCCGTAGTGAGTCAGGAAAAGCGTTTTAGTCACTCTGTTCTCTTGCAAGGTCTTTGGTGTGAGTTTAGATTTTACTCGATCATCTTGACAGTTTAACATTTCGTATTCTCGTTGTTTTTTTAAATAACCAATATTTAAATACATGTAGGTTTTTAATTTTCTTTTAATTTCATTCTTAAATTAATAACATATTTACAGTTATCTTAAATTCTACAGTACTACGCTATAACAGCCCGGGTGGTAGCGTTGAGGACATCGTTGTCGGCATGACAGTTGTAGAAGAAAAATTGTTGTCAGGACTACTCATTAAATATTTCGTAGTCCAATAAGCTCCAAACGCTAAAATTCCGGTGATAAGTAGACTGAAATGAAAAGAAGATGTAAATTGTAGTTTAGAAAAATAATTACATCTCCGAACTAATCGGGGTCTTCAGCTAAAATACTGTCAAATTATTGGCTGTGTATGCGTGTGCAACTTTTCGAGTTAATCGAACTTCTTGGAATTTATTAAAATAAAACTGAAGCAAAAACAACGCGGCTTTCTCACCCTTAAAACTCGACTCGACTCGACTTTTATAATAAAAGGATCGCATTATGTAATTATCATCGCATCATGACCGCATCCTGTATTTAGTTATTATTTAATTCACAGCAGATTAATAAGCTGAAATGGCAATCGGAGAACCGATAACCTTGTTTTTGACTGGAGACCATGAATTGGCAAAAGTAGTTCAAGTCGCCCTCAGGCTCGGTGGAGAGACGACCTATGCGGTTGGTAACAGCTCAGTGGCAAGCAGTTGGAGAGGTATATGTCCGGCGGTGAACTACTATAGGTTAATGATGATGAAATAATCGGGAACAAATTGCACAGGGTCATCTTGCCATCTAACTCCAAACTAAGGTTTTCTATACAGTAGCTAAATAATTGTAAACTTAAAACAGTAGAGTTTTCAAGTACGTAGAAACTCATATAAATATGTATAATTAATTAAACACGTGCCTGGGATTTAGAACAAACAAACCTGTTCGTCAAACAAATATTTAACCGAAACGGAAATCAAACCAATGACACTCGGCTCAACGTACTCTGTGGCACTGCGCTTCTTGGTCATACATTGAATACTTAGTAACCATTTTTGGTATATGAACATACTCAAATCGAGACCAAGGTCCTACTTTTTATCGTACGATGCAATAATGCCTCCTGTGCTAAATAATACAACGGCTATTATTCCAATACAATTTAAGCCTAATATTTCACGCTATGAGGCCTATCGACTCCAATAACCACACAGCTATAATAGGTCGTGAGTTGATCTGCCCATCTAAAGCAACAAAAACACCTGTAAACTCAAACCAATCCCACTACTGCACCATGAGCGTGCCAGCCAATTCAAATTAGAGTTATTTATTTGAAAAAAAATATTTAATACTCACAATCCTAACGCCATTTTACTTCCATATGCTACGTGCGTCTTTCTTGTAGTAGCAGTAATCAAAAAGGCTTAACTTTAATGAAGATAACAATATTTATACTTGAGTGCATACGTGTTTTAAATTTGCATAAGTCTCTGTTCCACTGCACTGAAAATGCTTTAAAATATTTCTTTACAAATACTAATATTCAGAGTTTGTTTCACAAATCACAGTGGATTTGTTCTAATGCTTGGACACCGAATCTGTTTTGGTAAGAGAGAGAAAGATCTGAGCTGATATGATCTGGCACATCATACTTTTATCTCTCTCTAGAGCTTTTAAGCCAATATGATGTTTTCCAAACAGCCTTGTGGTATCCATAAATTTTACTTCAAGTTTTGAATTAAAAGGTCGCCGTACACTTCTTTTGGTTTATTGTGAACTAGCCTCCGAACTTAGGCTGTACCCGGAGCCTATTAACATCACAACGTGAATGCTGCTAACGACTTTAAGAAACGAGTTTGAATTGTAATGATAATGTAAATGATATAAATTGTATTGTTCAACGACCTACTCAGCCTTCAAACCGGAACGCATGACTACCACACGGCAGAAATAGACTGAATGATTAGGCGGACTTACAATATGTTCTACCATGAGCAAAACAATCTTCATCATCAACATCATCATCAGCCTTTATCTGCCCACTGCTGGACATAGGCCTTCCTCAATGCCTTCCACATAATGCGGTCCTCCGCTTTCCGCATCCAACGACTTCCCGCCGTGCGCACTAAGTCGTCGGTCCACCTGGTCGGAGGATGCTCCTGGAACCCATCCGTGGCCTCCATTCGAGGACTTTCCTCCCCCACCTAGCGTCGCTGGCTCGACAGATGTGACCGGCCCAATGTGAATCAATCTTCGGCTCTTTGGAATACACTGGCTAATTAAGTAATTTGTTTTTCATGTCTTTGGTATAGTAATTCAGGGTGACTCTCGGTCAGTGCAATTTCTTTTTATCTTAGCACATTTCGCGTTTTGAAATATTCATAAGTCATATGCGCGTATGAGGTATACATAACACAGGAGAAACCCTGACTTGAGGCATTTAATTATGAAAGGTTTAACTTTTTGAGTAAAAAAAATTAGTTACGCCTTCAGTGTGAAACTTCTTTACTTTATTATAATACATTATTTGGTATTGTATAAACACCAATTGAAGTTGTAAAACAACGATGGACGAACATGATCAATGTTGAAAATTTGTGCAAAATCATATAAATACACATACATACCGTTTCATACACTTCATATGTTTTTTTTTTATTGCTTAGATGGATGGATGAGCTCACAGCCCACCTGGTGTTAAACAGTCACTGGAGCCCATAGACATCTACAACGTAAATGCGCCACCCACCATAAGATATAAGTTTTAAGGTCTCAGTATAGTTACAACGGCTGCCCCACCCTTCAAATCGAAACGCATTACTGCTTCACGGCAGAAATAGGTGGGGTGGTGGTACCTACCCGTGCAGACTCACAAGAGGCACCAGTGACAAATATTATAACTCATCAAGTAGAATTCCGAGCTTTTGTCCATTTTAAATATATATTTTATGAATATGTACAAATAGCAGTACAACTCAATATTCAGGCACTCAGCGGCCGCAGCCTAAGATTTTGTTATAAGCCAGTCAGGACCTTCAGTTATTTTAATACCCCGATTTCTGATACAAACATATTGAGTTCGATGAATGATGAATGATTCGACAATACGTATTACGTTATGATTTTTACCACGTACCCTCTGGCTTTAGAATAAGCCTTTACGGTGTTCCCGAAGAAATATGCGATGTACTTCATCAAAATAGCCTTGAAAACAGTCTTCAGCGGAAGGGAGTGGCCTTGGTTGTGCCCTTGACCTTGCTAATGTGCATGAGCGACGCTAACCATTTACAACCTGGTAGCCCATTGGTTGCCAGTTATGGAAATAAGAAACGGATCAAGACCCAGCGTTACAGCAGTCAAATCTACAGACAAATAAGCAGATCTCACGTAATGAGTGAAATTCATTGTGTAAAGTTCAAGGATTTTGGATTAGCGACAGATATTTTAAAATCTTGTACTGGAGAAAGACTTAAGGAATGAGTAATTACCAGTTGATAACAGTTGCAACAAAAATGTTGGCAATGGAACGTGATACTTGCTTCAATTTAAACAAGGGAAATAACTAGAAAACTGAGCTGGAAAACTATTTTGTATTAGATTAGAATAAACGTAAATATTTCAGTTTTCCTTAATAGAACCATTTATTTACATTTTCCAAACTTTATGACTGGAAAGTGAATTTTTAAATATCAATTTTATTAATGTCAATTACGAGTATACTAGAGGTCCCGCAGTAGTCGAAATTCGACTATAATTAATTGGAATTGTAAGTTTTTACACTGTTATGATTGTATGTTATACTTCTATAATCACAAATTTCACCAAGGCTACACTATCAAAAAAATTTTGATAAAGACAAACAATATTTAATCTATTCTTAATTTGACCACAGACGTCAAGAACAAAAGTTTGACAATAAATAGTATGCATGCGTGTGTGCGTCAAATACATAGTATGTAGTGTGTGTAATGTTTTCTTTATTGATTTAATGTATCTTTTACGCATTGTTTTAAAAAAATATTAGCATTGTGCACTTCTTCTCTTTATTCTGTATAAGTGTGGAAAATTTCATACTCCTCCGTCCACGCAATTTTCGTAAAAAGGGATACAATGTTTTTGCTTCACGTATTAATATATAGATATCATAAGAGCTTACTGTTAATTATAAGCACAAGTATTTTTGTTCTTCATTTCGTAGTGACTCTATAGTATGGTAAACGGAATCGAGGGATAAATGAATGAATGATCGTCCTTTAGTTCAGTTGCAGATGTTCAGATGGGATAAACAGGATGTCGTTCTGGAAATGATATTCACTGGGCCTGGAATGTATTGACCCTAGGGGACTTTATTGCAGTATTTTTCGTTGAAAGTTTTGCATTTTGCCAAATTCCCAGTTTGAAGGGTAAGATAGACATAATACAAATTAGACTTCGTACTCATGTACTCAAAGTGTACTCAAGGCATTCACGTCTACAGACTCTCCGGAACACAAAGTATTATGAGTGGCCGATTTTCGCATATGAGACAAATATTTGTGTATTGTTGTTTTATATTAAAAATATTTATTTATTTTCATAAACAGATATTTTTATTTTAAGATTAGATTAAACTCCAACAGGGAATCAAAGTTGGAACCGTGGTGTATAAAGCAGTCAGAGATACCAATTACCAGACCAGCCACGCGGTCAAAGATAGGCAGCAGGTATAAAATTGTTTGTGGTAGTGTTTAAATTTAAAATATTTATAGCATTGTTTCCTAGCAGCCTTAAAAGTAAGACAAATAAATTTGTTCTTCTTTAATCCATAAAAATCACAATTAAAAATTCGGAAAACGTAAATAACGCTGCTATCAACACAATAATGCTAATCACGATATTAACTTTGTCTTTCTCTTTAATAATCAATTTCGGAGGAACTGGTGGTTCTTGTTGGAGAGCTCTTCTTTGTCGTCTTTGTATAATCTTGTACTCGCCAACAATCTTACAAAAACACAGAAAATGTATTACTTTCGAATTACGTCTCTGCATTTTCATCAAAAATTCTATGTTCAGTTTGCTTAATAAGGCTACAAACGAGAACAATTTTCGAAAATCGAAAAATTGAGGTGCTCAAACTAACATTATTTAAACTTTACGTAAACAAATACTTCTTAATAAAAAAGTTCGTATAAACAACTATAGGCTAAATCTTAAATTTCATCTCAGTTCCAAACTAACCAGAACCGCGCCGGTCCCACCCAAAAGAATAGCTCCGGAAATCAAAAAGTATCCGTGTACAAAATTATCCAAGTTATCTTCGACAACTTTAGAAATAATCAATCCCAGAGGTATTACTATTTGGCTCCATATCGTCCCGCCTATCAAAACTTGTTGGTCTTTGTAAATCGGTCTTGAATCAACTCCTGAACAAGCCCAAAGCCCACCTGCAGCAATCACCAGGCCTAAGCTAAATGATTTCAGAATTATTGGCACGACATGTTTAGTCATTTGTTTTGACATCTGTCATCTATATCGTACGCGTCATATCTTTCCGTTCAGAAGTATTATAAATACCAACTTACATAAATATAATAAATACATAAAACATGCTATCTTAAAAATAAATCTTAAGGCGGTAATTGACAAAATAAGTTGGATCAATCGAGACTTTAGTCAAAGTGTGCAATAGCATTCGAATTGTAGTTTCTGAGGCCTTCAGAACTCGCTTAAACACAGATGGACCGTAAGCTTCTGACTATTTTATTTATGTATTTTTTTTTCAAAATTCTACAAAGGAGAAGACCTAAACAGTTACAGCCTATCACGATTAAATAAATTTAACTTGCACAAATAATTCACGTGTATGAAATGTTTTGACGAAATTATGGTAGCTTTTATTGTTATTAGACTGTATCAGAACGATTACCATGATTGGTCTTTTAATACTAACAATCAAATTACACATTGTTCCAAAATCGGAGGATGGGGGAAATCAACGATGGGTAAATTTGACTCAGTAAGGAGCATAGAGTTAATAAGTACAAATACTAACTATATAGTAAGGAGTCATCAGACAAGCACTGCAATTTAAACAAAATAAAACACTGTTTCCCGCTTTTCACCTATGTCAAAATCTGAATTGCAGCGTAAAGTGATTTATATCAGCTCGTTCTTAGAGAATATAATTCACCAGCATTAGGGACTACATAGAATATTAGCAGTAAAATTGAAAACAGCAATTTTTGTTATTTCTCCAAATCTCACTCATGTCATGTTGTAATGTATCAATACTTTTACATCGGGCCAAGCTACGTAAATAAGCGACAGCTGTTACCGTTAAAAAAGCGTAGTAAATTCCACTAACTACACCTTTTCCCCGTTCCCAGTCTGAGCATTAATAGGGCGCTTCAAGTTCTTGTCCGATTTTTCGTCTATTAAGCAGCTACAGCTCCAACCCCAACATGTATACAATAAAACCCATACCCGAATCCGATTGTTTAGCATTTTTTTGAAAAAAGTATTCCGATTTTCTTATCTATAACTTCAAATGAAATAAAACCATTTGAATTATAGTCTGTTGCGACTCTATCGTAACGTTACGATGAATGGCTGATAAATAATCATCATTGTTCATCTAAAAAAATCCTTATAATAGTTTGCCTTAAATAAATCAATTCAACGGTTGGTCGGCACATGCCCCCGTCTCCTCAGCGTTTTGTGATCTTTAATGTTGTTTTTCAATAATTTTACATGTACAATTTATTTCATTTATACATTTTCGTCAAAATGTTAAAAGTGTATCTTGTATTAATTTCTCTTTTAATTTACATGATTCACGCGAAGGAAGGAAATAGCTACGTAAGTCTTTTTTTTTATATTAGTAAATTTAATTAGACGAGCATCAGAAAGGCTAATTATTCAATTTTAAGAAATAGTAGGAAAAATATTACGAGACTGCACGGATCGATCACATCTTTGCCTATTTCTACCGTGGAGCAGTCTTTTGTAACAGCTTAAAATATATAGGCATGAAGTACTTCTCGTACTTTCAATAGCATATCAGATATTCAAATCATCATCGAATTGAAAATTAATGTTTGTGACTATTTGTTAGTTATTTGAAAAGGTGAGAATACATGCCATTCCATTACCCAATGAAAGATAATCTAAAATTTTTGAAAATAATACCTACTTATTTTATTCATTATACTATTATTATTAATATAGTACCTGCTGAGAAATTGATGGCCTTCGTATCTTTGTTTTCAGGGTTCATTTAAGATAGCTCTAAGAAATTTGGAAATTTGTAAGGGACCGAAGAACAAGGACTGCACCTTGATCTCAGTAAAAATTGTTGACAACAGCATATACTACAACTTCACTATTCTCGAAAATGTTTCACCTACAAAAGTATGGAGCTTTAAGCAACAATAATTAGAGACTCTTACATTATTTATTATCTTTTCTGTCATTTTATTCCTTGAATTTATTCGTTAAAAATTAGAAAAATGTAGATGTCACTCACTTGTCTACTACAATCTTCCGTGCTGCTGACTTGATCGTTTATCACTACGATCAGAATAATATAATCATGCGAGGATTTACAAAGGACATCACGCAGCACATCCATTCATCAACCGATGCCTCCGACAAATACTTAGGGATTTCTCATGAACTCAAATGGGTGCTTTTGGTAACTTTTTCATTAGATATGATACGTATCTTCATCGTCAACCTTGATATACAAGGTTGAAGTCTTAATTGTTTCATCATTAGCAGTCTATAAAGTTCCACTGCTGGACATAGGCCTTTTGAATTGCACGCTATTGCGCATGATCTCGGTTTCTCTAATCCTGCTCTTGCCAGCCAACAATTTAATTGCTTTACAACGTCTAATTACTTCGAAATATCCAAAAAATGATAATCATTCTCTTACCAAAATAAAGTCTCAATTATGCGTCGTAAATTGACGTAAATTGGAGGAAAAATGCATATAGCGATCTTGTAAGCTTGACATCAGCTTCGGTGAGTAGCCCAATATACAAAACCATACAAAGCAAATTATATTTTTTGTTTTGCAGGGGAAAATAGTGGCCCATTCGAACGGCAAAGAAGTTATGAGGCTGCAAATGAACAAACCATGTGATCATCTATTCATTAGGCCTATCCTGAAAACAAAACTGAATGCAACCTCACAATGCGTTATTTTGAAAGTAAACTAAATTATTTTTGTTTTATTTTTCTCGATAACTATTGGTCCCAATTTGTGTCATTTCAAATAATAACAAGCAAATTTATGGAATTAAACTGTAGATATTATAAACTGTATTTCCGTGTCAGGGTGAATTTACAAATAATTGTGACTACATAAAATTCCAGGGTCAATACACGTTCAAATTAGATTACGAAGACTTATTCGAGAGCTATTATGCCGGGTCCTTTGTTTATGGAAATTGGACGTTCAAGGCGACTATCTACGGAAATAACTGTAACTTCGTGTGTTCCATCTGCAACATAGAATTTATGCCAAAAGATAAGAAACAATAAATGATTTTTATCTGCCTTAATTGTTTACTTACTTTACGGTGTGGGAGAGACCTCTTGTGAGTCCGCGCGGGTAGATACCACCACCCTGCCTATTTCTGCCGTGAAGTGAAATGCGTTTCGGCTTGAGGCAGCCGTTGTAACTATACTTGAGACCTTAGAACTTATATCTCAAGGTGGGTGGCGCATTTACGTTGTAGATGTCTATGGGCTCCAGTAACCACTTAACACCAGGTGGGCTGTGAGCTCGTCCACCCATCCTAGCAATTAAAAAAAATTATATCTTACCTACTTATTTCCATCACTTGTTCCACTCTACAAAGCGAAACGCATAATTATAATGAAATTGAAGCAGACAGGATAGTGGTAAATAACTGAGTAAATAACTAACTAATACTGCCCCAAGAAGGATATTTGATTAGTCCCAAAACCAAACTATGTCATGTTTTGTCGCAAGCTCGTCGACTAAATTGTACAATTTTTTTAGAGTATTGCGAAATAAAAAATAATAAATACTTACTAAAACTAATAAAAAAAGAATAATAACAATATTAAAACTGTGTAGTTAAAGTTGTGCGGCTACATCTAAAAAAAGAAAAAATAAGCCACAGATTGAAGTTTTGGTATTTTTTTATGGTTTCGAGATTAAGATCGCCCCGAAGACCACCACGTTGACTACCTACCACGCCGTCTCGACGTCCAACCTAAAACCATATTAATTATTTGTCGAAAGAAGACAACAAGAAAGATATGATTCGAGGGAATGTGACATAATTTTTTTTTTTATTGCTAGGTAGTTGGACGAGGTCACAGCCCACCTGGTGTTAAGGGGTTACTGGAGCCCATAGACATCTACGTCGTAAATGCGCCACCCACCTTGAGATAAAAGTTCTAAGGTCTCAAGTATAGTTACAACGGCTGCCCCACCCTTCAAACCGAAACGCATTACTGCTTCACGGCAGAAATAGGTAGGGCGGTGGTACCTACCCGCGCGAACTAACAATAGGTCCTACCACCAGTAAAAGAGAATGAATATCGATAAACTAAACGACTTTTAGTCAAATATACAAAACACAACCACTATTAATAAGGACTATAAAGATAGTAACGCTAATTTTGTTGAGAGTACAGATAGTGATATAGAACTTAGAAGGTTAGAAACTTAATTTTATGATTTATTGCATTACTATTTTCATATACACAATAATTAATTTATGTTTATAACAATTATTAATTACGTCTACTAAATATAAAGTCAGTGTGCCCGTTTAATTATTTTTTATATATAGCAGTAATTAATGCTGGTATGTTAATGTGAAGTGCGACAGAATTGTGAATTATTTAGAGAGAGAGAGAGAGAGTATTCTTTATTGTACACCAAAAAAAAAAAAATGCGAAACATTAAATACAAAAAAATGTACAATTGGCGGTCTTATCGCTAAGAGCGATCTCTTCCAGACAACAGTTAGGTGGAAAAGAATCGTTTGTAAACTAATTACACGTAGTGTACCAATCAATTGAAATGCTATGGACTAGGAAAAGCAGTTGGAGGCCGTCACCTAAATAATAAAATTCCCGGTGTACTCGTATATATATCTATGGAGAACACATAATGCGACAAACTTTAGATGGTTGGGAAGGTGGCATAAAGATAGGCGGAGTAAAGATATCGAATCTCAGGTACGCGGACGATACCACCCTCTTCGCTTCATCGGAAAATGAAATGGCGGAGCTACTTCACAAACTGGAAACTGTCAGTATGGAAATGGGGCTTGCTATTAATAAATCCAAGACCAAGCTAATGATTACTGACCGTTTCAAAGCTATCCAACGCAACAATCTCCTACATGACTACGAAACCGTAACCCAGTTCCCATACCTTGGCTCACTGATTACCAACAAAGGAAGTAGCGAACCGGAAATACGGAGACGGACTGGCATGGCAAAATCTGCAATGACCCAACTGAGCAAAATCT